AGTTCAAAGAGCTCCTTTATGGATGTTTGTGATGACATTTTTTTTTAAATATTAAATAATCCCACAAAATTCTTCCAGATGGCTTGTGGGCAGTGTTTGATTTTGCTCCCAATTCAAATGGCTGCATGATGTCGTTTATTATTGGAAATTTAATTTGGAGAATGATCATCAAACAACAAATCCCAACACAATCAACTGCCAATAAGAAATCAACTTCAATTTCTATCTACTCCGTAAATAATATGACAACCTCTTTTATTAAATTACTAGAATATTCTGACAATAAGAAAAATACACTCAACCTTATTATGTCAAATTCAAAACTCATCCAATATCTAAACTCTAGTTCCAAACACAAGTACTTTGCTTCTCCAATACTCTTTACTCCATCACAAACTACTTTAATTACCAAACATGCATCCCTTGTTAAAATCAAAACTCACACCAGTTTTGCTATTCATTAAAGGAAATACAAGATCCACCAAGGAAAATTAAGATATTCAAAATTACTCATTATTTATACTCTACTTAAACTTTAATTATAAAACAGGCCACAAAAGACCATTAGACATTGAAAAAGCAATACTAGACTTCCGGAAAAGTCAAAAAGAAATAAAAAGGCGCCTTTTTAAAAAAGTGGTTTGAAAAATGTTTGAGCAATTTTTGAAATTTGTTTGAGCATAATTCAAGAAATGTTTAAACCTTTCCTGCACATTTATTGAAGCTTTCTTTTTCCTGATGTCAACATTTTCTTTACTGCATTTGCTGAAGTTGAAAGGTTCCCTAATCTTGCTGATTCTATTGTTGATGGAACGGAAGATGTTGAGGAAGTGGAAGAAAATCTTAATGAAACACCATATTCTGAATTAAGCATAAAACAGGAACAAGAAAAAAGTGTGAAACAATTAAAAATCCAGAAGAGGAAGATCTGATTTGAACATCACTCCACCCAGAAAGAGAAAAAACCTGAACCTTATCAAAAAGAAAACAATCATCAAATCATCATGCCAAGAAAAGTTGAGGAGCTCAAAAGACCAGAGCTTTCAAAAGATTTCGTGATTGATGTAAAAAAATCCATCAAAACTACAGTGACCCGAGATGGTGACATTCAAAAACCTTGGATCTCTTAAGGAATTGGTGGATTTTTTGGAAAAGGATATAGTTAAGAAAGAGAGTGAGTTCAGAAGTTTGAGGGCCCTTGGGGTTTTTTCAGCAAATACTTGAACGTTTTGAGAGTTGAGAAGTAATTAATCATTCTTGAGGAATTGTTTGAAAACAGTTTGAAAGTTGCTCAAGATTTTCTTGAACAAACTTTGGATGTGTTTCAAGTAGTTTTTAGGTAAAAAAGGCACCTTTTAGGCACCTTTTAGGCGCCTTTTTGCAAATTAGCGTGAAAGTACCTTAAAAAAGTCGACTTTTAGCAAAACTTTTTCTGGAAGTCTACTAAAGAAAAAAATGAAAAAAAGAAAGTCTATTAAAAAAGAGTTGTACTAAGAAATCAAAAAAAGAAAATCTGAGAATATTGGTTAACTATTAATTGATCTTGAGTTAATGATGATGATTAAATATAAATGTGTACATTATTTGTCAAACCTGTTCCAGAAAACCTTAAGGCTTCATTCTTTTGAATTGTTTATACTTTATCAACTTGACAGAAAGTACAAAAAACATCAAAAAAAAAACATTTCTAAAACCATATAAGCTTTTTATTGTGATGCAATAAATTGTCTGTTGCTTTTTACGTCATTGTATTCTTAAAGTTGACCAATTATCTTCAAGCAGCTCAAGATTTCTCCTCAAACTGACTCAGACAGAGGGGATGGAAAATCCTCGATCCAAATCCCACGCGGATCAGTCGGATCCAAGATTCCAATAAAAACGTGAATCCTGGATCCGGATTATCCGATAGATTCAACACAAGGATTTTTTAAAAATTACTTAATTATTGTTGTTTACACTTGCTTTAACCGAAAAACAATCTAGTTCTTCGTAATAAATTGTGAAATTTCTTGTAATGTCTGATAATTGGTAAGTTTCTTAGTTAACAGCAAAAGTTCTAAGCAATACTCGATACTCTGAAAGCTTATCGCTGCGGCTTAGTGCATACAATTTACCTTGTTTCAATATTATCAGTTCATCATTTAAATTAATATCTTCTGATTCATTAAATTGAGAAAGTATTTGGGAAGATAATTAACTTGTTTCTGAGCAAAGTTGTAATTGTTTTTGTTTGTCAAATCTTCTAGCTCTTACCAACATCACACGAGTACTTATTTGCAAAAGTAAGATGTCATCTTTTTCCATAAACATAGATACAAGTCTTGATTTTAATTCTTTAGCATCTTTACCAATTCCTGAGAGTGGATTTTCTAGTAAATCATAGCTCTTTGTAGCATTAGATATTTTACAATTTGAGGGGAGAGTAAAGTAATCATCACGAATTGGACAATAGAACTTTTTCTTTTGGGTTGATTGGTTGTGGTGATGTTTCTCTTTATTTATTAACGTTTGAAATTGTTCCATTAAAAATTGGAAGTGCAATCCTGGATTATCGGTTCCATCTTTTGAAAGATTTTAGAAAAAGATTCATTGTTTATTAAAAAATAATCCTTCCCATCCTCCTCCAAAACGTGAGATTTGGCTTTAGGATTTTCCATCCCCTCCTTCAACACTAATTCTTCTATTTCTACTAGTACGTTAATTGCAATTACTTATTTTATAATTTTATCAACAACAAAATAAGATGTCGTTTCTGAAATACTAAGTTTATTCTATTACACGCGAGTAGATTAATTCGCAAGAATAATAATAATGATTGAGGATATCATTAATCAACTTTTGTATAATATATAAACTCTAATACTTCAAAGATTTATATCCTTTAAAGCAGGTTCCAAGGTTGATTCACTCGTTGGTATCTCAATCCTTGAGCTTTTAATTCATTTGTCTTATTTTATTATTTTATTATTTTGTGAGTTTAAAAACACTAATACTTCTAATAGTTGCAACTACTAGCCCAAAAAACCATCTAATCAATTCAAAAAACCTTAAAAACCATAAAAACAAAAAATACTGAAATATCTGAAAACTTGATAACTAATTCTCTATAGCTTCAATCAATCTTTACATAAGCAACATCAATCACACCACCAAAATCGCAGTAAGCGTTAAGCTTATGTAGGTTTATTGTAAAAACAATAAAATAAGTGTCAACTAACAAATTTCTCATTTGCAAAAATGGTACATTTCAATAGAAATTTCGGATTTAGTAAGTCAATAATTTTTTAATAATTTATTATTTTATTGGATTTCATTTGATCATATCTAATTTGGTGAGGTCAAATGACATTTTCATTTGGATAGCTTTTGTAGTATTGTTTGGTAGTGGATATCACTATCAAGAAAAGATAGGATCATTTGTTGAGCTGGTTTTTTAATCAAATATGTGAAAATTCTAACAATTTTATATATGATTTGTGTGTTTATTTAATTTTTTAAATTTAAAGCACTGCTAATGCCAAGGCGATTAGTGATTGATTTTGAAAGCAATTAATAGATCATCTGAATTTTCTATTGACAGAAACGTATTTTAGTAGTTCAGTTCTACCTAGTTGTAATAAACACCGGAAATTTATTTATGTTTTTAACATTAAAAGCTGAAAGTAGTAAAATGATGATATTTGAAATATATATATATACACATATATATATATTTTAATTGATGTTTGACAAACATATCCACCACATGTATGAAAATTCGTATTTTTCATTGAAATACTAATAAATTTCTATTTTAATTACTGCCAATTCAAACAGGCAACAAACGACACACATTATCACATTATCAGACATTGTAATAGCAAATGCTAAACCTTTTGTTGTTTATAATATGTGAAATCTGTAGACAGAAAAAAATGAAACACAGTTTTTAAGAAGAAATCATCGAAAAACTCAAGTAAAATGAAGAATAGAAAATCACTTTTAAGGGGTAAAAAATTTAATCTGAATAGATAAATGAATTTGCGAGGAATTATGATGAAAAGGATGTAGTGAGAATGGGATTTGATAAAGAGATAAGTAAAAAACATGATGAGGAGTATGATGAAGAATAAAAGAGAAATGATTTTTCTAACATAGATAAATATAATTTTTGTTCACATATATTCACCCAATAATTTATCAAAACAATAAAATACCCCAAATCAATTCTCATATCACAACAAAATAAATTGTAAAAATATACAAAAATTATATTCAAACTCGAATTTAGATCTACAGTATTTCAGAAACGACACTTTATGTTGTTGATAAACCTATAAATTTGGATTTTTAGTTTTTTACAATTTTATATGATTTGTGTTTATTTAAAATTTACGGTTAGAGAGGAATTTTGGATATTATAGTACACTCGTTGTTGAGGTGTTCTTTTTGTCATCATCAGTAAGTGTAATCAGTATGGAGATTCTAGTTGGATATTATTGACAGCAATTACAAAAAGTACTTGTTATTATTATAAGACAACAATGGATTAGTGGGATAGTTAAGTGGTGTCTCAATCTTTGAACTTTTAATCTATTTGTCTTAATTTATTATTTTATTATTTTGTGGATTTAAAAACAGAGATTTATCCAAAAAGCCAAGCCAAAAATTCAACCAGATTGTCCTTTTTAAAAAGCCATATCCAAAAAAAGCGGTTTGGGATAGATATTGGATATTAATATACTCTCCTTCTAATAGTTGCAACTACTAGCCCATTAAACCATCTAATCAATTCAAAAAACCATAAATTAGAAATCCAATAAAAACACAAAATAATAAAATAATGTTATTATTATTTGTTTGAGAATTAAAAATTTCAATTTATACGAGACAACAATTTGTTCTTAAGAGAATAAAATTTGAAAACCATATTCCACACAATATTGTTTTATTGTTGGAAAGTTTGATACTATTTTTCTAAATAATAACAAACTCAGTAATTAGTGGAGATGTTATTAATTAACTAATTGATAAAATTAATCGGTGAAAGATAATAGAACCTAATATTTTGACCATATATTCTGGAATAATCGTTCAAATACAGCAATACACAACCAACGTTTACCTTTTCAATATCTCTCCTTTACGAATTAGACAAAAGCATGCCTGTACTAGTTATAAACAATCATAAATAGTTTTCAAAGAAAACCAAGTTGGTGATGTTTAATTCGAAAGTGTATTGAAGAAAGTGTTTACATGAATTACTTAGAGAATTGAAATAATTAAAAAAGGAAAAACAAACCAAGCCTTATACAAATATTTAAAATTAATTCATCATGCATTTTATATGTATGATGATGTGGATTTAAAAACGAAACAATCTACCAACACTTTACAAATAGTAAAATCAAAACTAAAAAATCATTAGAAATGTTGGAGGAGTGGGATGATATTTTTGAGGATATCAATAATACAAATCTTAGTATTACCATTTTATTTTCATTGTCTATATGTTTTGCCTACACTTTTGTATTATCGAATTATTTAGAGAAAAAGAATTGTAATTTTCAAAATATATATATTAACGATTGTATTTACAATGGTAATACAAAGTAAATGGATTTTGTTTGGCGGAGGAGTCGTGTGGGATTTGGATAACAGATTTTCCATCGCATCATGCTAAGAAAAGTTGAGGCCTAAAAGACCAGAGCTTTCAAAAGATTTCTTGATTGATGTAAAAAATCCATCAAAACTAGGATGGTGACATTTAAAAACCTTGGATCTCTAAGGAATTGGTGGAAAAGCATATAGTTAAGAAAGAGAGTGAGTTTAGAGGTTTGAAGGCACTTAGGGTTTTTTCAGAAGTAATTAATTATACTTGTAAAAAAGGCGCCTTTTAGTAAAACTTTTTACGGAAGTCTAAAATAACCATTCAAACTTTAAACAACAAACACCAAAATTCAAAAACACCTCTTTAATACTTTTGACAATAATATTATTAAATGTATTACAAAGGTTTTTGAATTCACAAGCCCATTAAATTTCAAAATCAAGTTGTAAATGATGGTGAATGGTATTTCTGATATTTCGCACACTTGGTCATTTTTATCGTTGAGTTATTATTTATCTTTCCACCTTTCTATTTCGGCATTCCCTTCCAATTAGACTCTAGTTTTGTCCAATCATCACGTCCAATAATAAATAATAAAATAATATTTTTATTTTAAAAAAAAAATCTCCAACAATATCCATTCATCACCAACCACAAAAGATGGATGAATTAATTCCTGTTATTAATCGTTTACAAGATGTTTTTTCAAATATTGGTTTGAATGATCTTGCACAAATTGATCTTCCTCAAATAGCTGTTGTTGGTAGTCAAAGTTCCGGTAAATCATCAGTTTTGGAAACCATTGTAGGACGAGACTTTCTCCCTCGTGGCTCAGGCATTGTTACAAGAAGACCTCTTGTTTTGCAATTAATTAATGTAAAAAACGAAGAAGAATGGGGAGAATTTTTGCACGTGCCAAACAAAAAGTTTAACGATTTTGCAGAAATCAAGAATGAAATTGTTAGAGAAACAGATAGATTAACTGGTTCAAACAAGAATATTTCGGAAAAACCAATTAATTTGAAAATTTTCAGCCCAAAGTGAGTGTTTTAATCATTTTCTTAAACTAATTATTCCGAATAGTGTTTTGGATTTGACATTAGTAGATCTTCCAGGTATCACAAAAGTTGCCATTGGTGACCAACCTAAAGATATCGAAATTCAAATAAGAAATATGATTATGAACTATATTAACAAACCTAATTGTTTGATTCTTGCTGTTACCGCTGCAAACACTGATCTTGCAAACTCTGACGCTCTCAAATTAGCAAAGGAAGTAGATAAAACAGGAAGTCGTACTTTGGGTGTGTTGACCAAAGTTGATATCATGGATCAAGGGACCGACTGTACAGACATTATAAGAGGAGAAGTACTTCCTCTTAGATTAGGATATATTGGTGTTGTTAATAGATCACAAAATGATATTAATATGAACAAATCAATTCGTGATGCATTGAAAGACGAAGAACGCTACTTCCAAAATCATCCAGCATATAAACCAATTGCTGATCGTATGGGCACAGCTCACTTGGCAAGAACCTTGAAAAGAATTTTATTGAACCACATTAAGGAAGTATTGCCAGAGTTGAAGAATAAGGTATCCATTCTTATTCAACAAGCTCAGATGCGTTTGGCAGAATATGGTGTCCCACTTGATGAAAGTTCTATGAGTAGTGGAGGAATGGTTTTACAAAAACTTACAGAGTTTTCAACTGAATATGTAGAGACTATTGATGGTAGAAATGCTGAGGTTTCAACATCTGAATTATTTGGAGGAGCAAGAATCAACTATATTTTTACAAACAAGTTTTATCCTGTCCTCTCCGAAATTGATGCATGTGAAAATTTGACTGATTTTGATATTAGAACAGCTATCAGAAATGCTAAAGGCCCAAGAACATCTCTCTTTATTCCGGAAGCTGCATTCGAAATGCTTGTGAAAAGACAGGTAAAACTCTTGGAAACACCAAGTCTAAATTGTGTAGATGACGTTTTAGAAGAGTTGTTTGGAATTGAGGAACATTGTGAAAGAGTGTTGGCAAGGTAGGTTTTAATTACATACCTTTACTTACCAAAGGTAAAGATTCCCAAATCTTAAAAGTAGGACCCATGAATTTGTTGTTGATTTGCTAAGAAAGTATTCTGATCCATTGAAAGAATTTATTAGTAACATTATTAGAATTGAATTGGCATATATCAACACTAATCATCCAGACTTTTTCAGTAACAATAAGGTTGTAGGCGTTTTAGGTGAACAAAAACGTAAGTTGTCTATTGCATTTTTTTCACATGACATGCAAAACTAGAGCCTCCTCTACCACAACAAGGATATCAACAACAAGGTTACCCACCTCAACAACCAATGCATCCAAACATCAATCAACAACAAGGCTATCCACCTCAACAACCACAACAACAAGGAAGAAGACCACCAACAATTAATCAACAAGTTGCCCAACAACCACCACAACAAGTGAGTATCTAACAAAGAAACACCGACACTTTACACACATACATTAATTTTTCATCTCACCATTGCTTGACCATAATAATTTGATTGAATGACTTATTTGGCGGACTGTTGTTATACCAATACCTCAAAACACTATGTTTCCACAATTATTTAATTACAATTCATACTAACAATTATTTTTTAATAATCTCAGATTGAAGAACAACAACCTGAAGACGGGGAATGGGAGCAAGTTGAAACCTATCCACCACCAAAAAATCCAAACCAAATTACTATCAAAAATAGTTTGAAGGGAACAGGATCAAGCACTTCCTCTTCCCATAAAGAGTCGCAAAAAGAGTCCCATGGTGTAACAGGACGTATTTTCAACTTTTTTGGTATGCACAAGGATTCCAAGGATAAACCTTCTGGTAAGTTTCTTTAGAGATTATATTTCTTAACCTTTAATAGGAAACAATGACAATTCATTTTTTGATAATATGACTGGTAGTGTTTCTCTCAATTCCAACAAAGAAGTTGAAGTCAATGTTTCTCTCCCAAAGAAGAATTCTAAATCAAGACAACCTCCTCAGCCACAACAGCCTCCACAAGTTGTTAATCAACCCCCTCAAATTTTAAACAGTCCGCCAAATGAAGTGCAACAATATAATGAGTATTATGGTCAAAACAATTATGAGGTTTGCATTTTACTAACACATTATCATTTTTACTAACCTTTCTTTTTTATTTACACATAATCGATGAATGTCATTTTAAAAAAGGATTACAATATCCCACAACAAAATCCAAATGCTGCCTTCTTGAGTAATTTTGAGGAACGTGAAACTAAGGAGACTGAAACAATCAAAACACTTTTGCAACATTATTTTGAAATTGTTAGAACTTCAGTATCAGATAGCGTACCTAAAGCAATTATTCATTTCCTTGTTTCCAAATCCAAGATTAATATGCAAAGTGAGTTGGTAAGGAACTTGTATAGAGTAGAGCTTTATGAGGAGCTTTTGAAAGAAAATGAGGTAATGGCTCAAAAGAGAAAGAGAACAGAAAAGATGTTAACCACCTTACTCAAAGCACAAGATGCTCTCAATGATGTAAAAAATAAGAAAATTTAAATATTATTTGAATATTGATTATAAATATGTTGATGTAAAATATTTTTTAAATTGATTGAACGTTGTTGATTAAATTATATTTTTAAATTTGAATAAAAAATGTTTTCACCATTCGGAAAGGGAAAGCCTCAACCTCCACCAAAAAGAAAGGCCCACAATGAAATGAAGAGAAAACTCGTGTACTTTATTTTAGGCTGTGCTGTTGTTGGTGTTGCTCCTTATGTTAGTGAACCTGTGTCGAAATTTTTAGGATCATTCTTTGGTGCTGGTAAGTAATAATTAAATTATCATCACGTCATTAAAATTTAAAACATTAGAAAATTCCAACGCCGAGACTGTGATTTCATATGATCCTGACTTGTTATAAATGCCCAATATAACATACATCATCATTAGATCCGATCCTAATCTTCAACTGCCTACCTCCTTCCATCATCTTCAATAAAAAATTCAAGTTTTAATTAAGAACCTATACTAATCCTTTACTAAATTCTAAATAGAGCTGAACACAATCGTCTCTCCTTGTGTAGTCCATACATGAGTGTACAATTTGGTAAAAATCTCTCAAAAGAGAAACAAGAGGAATTCCATTCTTATCCTCTTGGTCCGTGCATTGAGAAATAACTCTTCTAAGGATAGAAAAAAGCTCTTTGAGATGAGAATGGTCAATTGTTTGTGTACAATTGAAAAGAAGGATTATTAATTGCTTTACGAGCTTTTTTTGATTAGATATTTCACTCCTCAAGATTAATTGCTCAATTTGTCTGAGTGTAAAGTCTATCAAGATGTTGTCGTGTAGGTAGTTTAGAATTAAATGAAAGGTACTACAAAATAATTGTTGGAGTTGATTCGACGACTTTTGCTTATCCTCTTGTATGACAAGTTTTAAATAATAAGGTAGAATAAGGTTGCTAATCTTGTATCCATCCATAAAGAAGGTAATGAATAGTTGGTGAGCTTGTTGAACTATTTGCTTATTATTGTGAATGAGACAATTAAACATGAAGGGAACAAGCTGATTTTTAAACAAATTTTCATTAGAAAATTGCTTACTCTGAAGTATTAGACTAAAGAATCCCAAATAAAAATAAACTGTTGATAGATACACCATATTATTTTGATAACTCTTTAAAAAGAGTGAATCTCCCAAAGTCTTGATTGTTGTATCAGAGAATATAAATTGTTCAATAGTTTGCGGATGATATTGTATTATTTTCTTTAAAAATATGGTGTACATTGAAACTGAATCCAGATCTTTCATAAATTCAGTGCTTGCAAGTATTTTTAATATTAAAATAATATCCTCGTGAGTAATATTCTTATTCTTCTCCATTAATGAGAGATTTTGCCGTATATTGTTGAATAATTTTGTGTTGTCTGTGTATATCTTTAAAATAAATATCAACAGTGAACTAGATATATTTTTTAAATGAAATTTCAATTCTTCCATTGATACTAGATCTTCAATAATTCTATCCTTCTTTGGTTTGCTAAAAGATTTTGAAAATGATTGACTTAGCATACTGACCATATCATACATTGTTTGAATATATTTGGAATGAGAGATGGAGATAATCATTACAAGGTTATTAATTAATAGATAAATATAAGAGTAGAGACTTGACTTTTGATATTCTGAAAATAATGCCTTCAAATCTGTAATTGATAAATCATGTTTTAAAGCAGACACTAGAGTGGGAATCATATAAAGCCTCTCCTTTAGTGAATGGTTTAGTAGTCTGTCAATGAAAATATCGAAATGTTTGAATAAACTTAAATGAGAAGCAACTTGAACTGCAATAAGTGAATAAACTGTTGACAATGTATTTTCGACATTGTTAATTATTTGAGATTGTACAATTTTCCAAATTTCTTCCAATAGATTTTTAGAAAGGGAGGAATTAATTAATTTGTTATGCTGAAAATAGGCCACTAGGGCAACTAGTTTAGTAAAACCATCCTGTGAAAAGTTGACAAGGAAAGTTCCAATCGTTTCTGTATTGTTTAATTGTTCGGATAGTTGAGAAATAAATATATATATTGTAGAGCAAAATTTAAGAATAAAATCAATTAATCTTATGGAGACGTGGTTGTGAACATTGGTTGAAATAATCTTTGCAACATCCTTATTAGCTATTATGTGTTGTTCCATTTTAAGAATTGATGTTAATAATTTTTGCTTCTTTTCATCAGTTAATTTTCCATATATAAAAAGTGTACCAGTTGATTTGATAAGATCTTCAAAAAGGTCCCTATTTCCAGAAACAATCTTCTCTCCTGTAATTTGATTATCATATCTAAAAGATATAATATCTTTAATTTTATAAATTAAATAAGTACAAAATACACTAAATATAGTATCTATATCATTTTGATTTTGCAAAAATTTACAGCAGTGAGAAAGAATATGTAAACAAATTCCAACTAATTTTGTAATACTGTGATAATTAGTTAAAAATTTAATTGATGTCTTGTAGAGATAATTAGAGTAAAATGAAATGTCATATTCTGTTAAATATTTGTGAAATTCATGAGTTTCATATTTTAAAAATAAAATTAGAATTTTCATATGATAAAGTAACTTGCTCATAGTGAGTGGGTTAGAGTTGTATGCTGTATTAAACTTTTCTACATATTTAACTTGATCCACACAATATTTAAAAAAACTTGCAAGAATATTGAGTATAACTTGTTTCTTTTCTGTATTATTCGATTCCAATTTACTATTATCAAGCAATCTTTGAATATTTCCAAATATATATAATAAATATTTCATTTCTCCATTTTTTTGGGAGTCAGTAAGTTGATGGTTAGTTTGTGCATCTGTCCAATTAATGGGACAATTTTCCATTAAATAATTCATACAAACAATACATTGTTGAGAAAGTTCTTCCAACAAGGACGATTGAATAGTAATTCCTATTGATCCTGATGAATCGGAAGATATTGATTTTTTCATCACATCACCAACCAATCCTACAATGTAATTCTGAGAATTTGTTCTACCACCATTACTGGACGAAGAATGATTGGAAGATTGAGACATATTTTTTAAAATTGTGTACAACAATTTACAAAATACATACCACAAAATAAATTTTAAACAACAGTTAATTTAATCAATTGTTTTAAAACAATGTATTTTAAAATCTCTCGGAGTTTGCATCCGGAAAACCTCTATTAGAAATCATACCCGAAAAATTATTAATATTTTAATTTTTAATTTCGAAAAAAATGAAAACCTTCCCATCCTCCACCATTTTACTCGTATTGGTGGCCCTTTTAGCTACCGTTTTGATGGTCAACGCCATTGGAGAAAATAGAAACTACATTCAAAACTTAAAGAACAAGAGAGAAATTAAATTCAATAATCCAGCAAGCACTATTGGCGGTCTTGTTCAACATTTAGGCTCCGTTTTGAAGGGATATCCATCAAAATTGGAATCAATTTCTTCATTGGATCTCTTTGAAAGACCATTAGTTGGTATTGTCCTTTCTCCATCAAAATCTAACGAAGTCAATGATGTTATTATCAAGAAGATTCAAAACTTGTTTGAAAATGATGTTGTTACTACCGTCTCATCTTTGAAGGAAATTAATTTTGCTACTATCCAATCTGGTATTGTTGTTGTTACCCATGTTGAAGTAAGTTTAAATTGTTGTGGATATTTCTTACGCATTCAATAGAATGTTGACAATGAAATGAAGTTGGCTCCAGAAAGATCCGAAGTTGTTGTTTTGAATTTGGAAAAGAATCTCCAAGTAATGACACCTGCCCAAAGATTACTCTTGTCTGTTTATGATATTAACAATACTACCACCAATAGTACAAACGTCACTGTGATTACTGACTTTGAACGTGCTGATTATCAAATGCAATTGTGGGTTTGGGTCTTTACTATTGTTTGTGTCATTTTGGCTATTTTTGCAGTCAACAAGATTGACTATTCTGCCGACCAAATGTTGTATGCACTTGAAATGACAAAGAGTCACCACGACTAAGACAAAAACCTCCACACAATCTATTCCTCAATAATAAATAAACTCCTCGATTAAATTATTTTTTAACCCACAATTTTTTATTGTTAAAGAAAATTAAAGTTTTTTAATAATCCTAACACCTATCCTCTAGCAATGAAATGATGTATACAAATGTAGCGTAGGGACAACTGAAATACATTGAAGATAAGCTACTGGAATCTCAAATTACTGATCTTGTGAATTGTTTTTTAAGCAAAATTGAAATTTATTTACGAGAGCTCGTCTTGTTGGTTCAAAATTTGGAGTAGCCAATTTGGGGTAACCAGTTGTTCGTTTGTACATTTTCTTGGAGGGAAGATAACGTATAAATAATCATTTTCACCACTAATCGAATAGGTATGATTAAAATCTTTCCAACTCACCACTGAATCTTCCATACCAGTTACCAACATCAGGTTGTAACATTTATCATTTACAGTCATATTTTTCCAAATTTTCTCAAAAATATTGTCAATGAATAAAGGAGGAAGAATACCTTCCAATTTGATAATAAAGGTTTGATCGACTCTTGAAAAAGACACTTCCTCTGTAAGAGAATTTGAGAAGAGCAATGAATTTTTTTGGCTAATTATTTCCTCTGCTGAGTCATTAATTGGTTGTTGATCCTTATTATAAGATCCAATAAAATCATTTGCCATTCCACCACTCAATAAACCAACACAGTTAAGGAGAGCTTTGGCTGTTTGTTGTTTTACCAATTCTTTTTCTTCTTCAACAGTTTGAACCTTTGTAAAAAAGTCAGTGTTGATGTAATCCTCCTCTTCATCAACATCTTCTTCTTCATCAGAATTCTCATTCATGGCATTATATGATTGAGAAGGTTCTGTGGTACTTGAACTAGAGGAGCTACTGGTTGACTTGTTACTGAGAACTTCTGTAAGGGATATGCCTACTTGTGGAAGCAATAGATTTTCCTCTTTTAAAACTCTAACATTAAAAAATTCTTTTCCAGAAATCTTTTTGATTTTTGACTCGTTAGAGTTCATGTACTCTTCGAAATTATCAAGACTAATCCAACAATTATTTTGAATACTATAAATACCAAAGTAGCAATGAATAGGATTAAGCTCTTCCCTATTTAAGGCCCATTTCAATCTTTCGTATTGTTTAGAATTGTTTTTGAATGGCAGATCATAAGAAACTGTAGAGTAGGTATCACTTTCGAATTGAGCAGAGTTGGCGCTTGTTTTTTTAGAGTTTGTCTTATTTTTCTCAGTTCTCTGTAATCCCATTTCTAATAAAGTATCCTTGTCAAATCTAAATCGTAAATGATGAATTCTTTCACTATTTTCAGATTTGTTAAATGTTGGATAAATTGCCATTTGGTTGGAGCTCATGGAATCGGAATTTGCTCCTAAGGTATGACAATAAATCAAGTAATCATCACTCTTGTTGAGAATTTCATCTTGAACAAAGGTTATAATATCAATTGGTTGAATATTTGAACAAATATAGATGGCAGAATTTTCTTTAAATTTTGTACAAGTATCCAATAATTGTTGGATGATTTGATTGTTTTTTTCGTCTTTAATTTCTGACTCGAGTGCGTCGGAATAATTGACAATACTTTCTGTACTATGATTTAACACTATTTCCATTCTGTAATTGAAAGGATGATTTTTAATAATATCATGATGGTTGGCTTTTTCGTGTTCTAGATATGTATCACTCCACAAAATAATGCGGGATGGTAGTGGTTCAACACCTGCTGCAAAATTTAACATTTTTTAAAATCGAGAAAAATAAATAAAAAATTTCAAAAGCCAAATAATTTAGATAGAAAAAGAAGTCAAGAAAAATTTGAAGGTGGTTTTCTAAATTTGCATAGTTAATTTTAGAGATGGGTTTTATTTAGATTTTTAAACTGAATATTTTTAGAATTTTAAAAGAGTCTCAATAAATAATAACCATCTCTCCGTAAAAAATAGATAATAAAATTTGAATTAAAAAAATGAGCACAACCGAAGCAAAGGTAATTATCAACAATTTTTATTTTAATATTTATTAGATCACACCAGGAAACCAAGGTACAACAAGCAAAAGGTACAGCCAAGAGAGACTTCTTGATTGATATTGAGAAGAAATATCAACAAGAATGGGAAGATAATCACATTTATGAATCTTCGGCCAGCGATTTGGAAAACAAGGAAAAATTCTTTGCTACTTTCCCATATCCATACATGAACGGTAGACTCCACTTGGGTCACGCTTTCTCTATGACAAAAGCTGAATTCCAAACTCGTTTCCAAAGACTTTTGGGAAAGAATGTTTTGTTCCCATTCGGGTTCCACTGTACAGGTATGCCAATTGCTGCTTGTGCTGATAGATTGAAGAGAGAAATTGAAGATTTTGGAAATCCACCTAAATTCCCAGATGTTCAAGTTAAAAAAACAGATGATGACGAAAAAGTTGAGGATGAATCTGCTGAAGTTAAAACTGGTGAATATCAATGGAATATTATGAGAAAGAACGGATTGTCAGATGAAGATATTGCTAAATTTGCTGATGCCAAATATTGGTTGGAATATTTCCCACCACTTGCCAAGAAGGATCTTCAAAGGTTTGGAGTTGCTTGTGATTTCCGTCGTAGTTTTATCACAACAGATTTGAATCCGTATTATGATTCTTTCATTCGTTGGCAATTTAACCAATTGAAAGAACAAGGAAGAATTAGTTTTGGTAAACGTTACAGCATTTTCTCTCCAAAGGATAACCAACTTTGTGCAGACCACGATAGAGCTGTTGGTGAAGGTGCTAAGCCACAAGAATATACAGTTGTAAAATTGTTCTTGCAAAAACCATACCCAAAGGTTTTGGAACACTTGCAAGATAAGAGAGTTTATTTGGGAGCTGCCACTTTGCGTCCAGAGACAATGTTTGGACAAACAAATTGTTGGCTTTTGCCTGATGGAGAATATGGCGCTTTTGAAACTAATAATGGTGAAGTTATAATTTGTACTGCAAGAGCTGCCAGAAATCTTGCTTGGCAAGAATTGAGTCCAAGACCTGGTGAAGTAGTTCAACTTGCCAAATTTTTGGGAGCTGATTTGATGGGAGCTGCTGTTGATGCACCAATGTCTCCACTCAAAACTATCCATGTTTTGCCAATGATGTCAATTTCTACAAGAAAAACAACTGGTGTTGTCACATCTGTGCCTAGTGATGCACCTGCTGATTTTGCAGCTCTTCAAGATTTGAAGAACAAGGCTGATCTCAGAACAAAATTCAACATCAAAGAAGAATATCTTCATGATCCTATTCCAATTATTGAAGTTCCAGAGTATGGTACTTTGTGTGCTCCAGCTCTCTGTGAAAAATACAAGATTAAATCTCAAAACGATAAGGATGGTTTGGAAAAAGCTAAGGATGAAGCTTATCTTCTCGGATTTAGTAAGGGTGTATTTGTAATGGAAGGTGAATTCAAGGGAATGTCAGTTAAGGACACAAAGAACAGAATTCGTCAAAAATTACTAGATGAAGGAATGGCTGTTCCATATGCTGAACCAGACAAGGAAGTTATCAGTAGATCAGGTGACAGATGTGTTGTCAGTTTGACTGATCAATGGTATTTGGCCTACGGTGAAGAAGAATGGAAGAATGTTGTAATGAATCATCTTAAGACTAAATTCCATGTCTATAACTCTGCCACTATCAATGAACTTGAATCAACAGTGGAATGGTTGAAAGAATGGGGATGTTCAAGATCATATGGTCTTGGTACTAAGCTCCCATGGGATGAACAATTCTTGATTGAATCATTGAGCGATTCTACAATTTACATGGCATACTATACTGTTGCTCATCTTTTGCAAGGTGGAGTTTTGGATGGATCTGGTCAAAGTCCAGCAGGTGTTAAACCAGAGCAATTGACTGACGATATTTGGAGTTACATCTTCCATGGTAAGCCTCTCACTTCAACCAATGGAATTAACCAAGAAGTATTGGATTCATTGAGAAAGGAATTCCAATACTGGTATCCTGTTGATTTGCGTGTCAGTGGTAAGGATTTGATTAAGAACCATTTGACCATGTTCCTTTATAACCATGCTGCTATCTTCCCAGATCAAATGCCAGGATCTATTTTTGCTAACGGTTATGTTATGGTAAACGGTGAAAAGATGAGTAAGCAAGCTGGTAACTTTTTGACTTTGCAAGGTGTTATCGAAATGTATGGCGCTGATGCTACTAGACTTGCTCTTTGTGACAGTGGTGATACTCACGATGATGCTAACTTTGAGCAAAATAATGCCAACAGTGCTGTTCTCAAGCTCAATACCTTCTTGGAATGGATAGAAGAGACACTCACCAAGGGTGATATGAGAGATGAAGAAAGTGAATACCTCTTTGCTGACAAGATCTTTGATGCCAAGATGAATTTGTATGTTACTGAATCAAAGAAACACTACGAGGCTATGGTTTATAAGGAAGTTTTCAAGACTGTTTGGGTTTCAATGCAAGATGCTCTTTCTAAGTATATTGAAACTATGAAGAGAGATTCTATCAAATTGCACAAGAAGCTTATTTTGAGATTTATTGAACTCCAAAGTATTATTCTTTCACCTGTACTTCCTCACTGTACTGAACATATTTGGAAGGAATATCTTAAGAAGGACGGATCAATTGTTAACACTAAATGGCCTGTAGTACCAGCTGCTGATGAATCACTCTTGCTTAGTGATGAATATCTTAAAGATGCTCTCCACAAATTCCGTCAATCTTTCCAAAAGGAATCCAAGGCCAAGAAGAAGGCTCTTAAGGCTTATATTTATGTTGCTGACAAGTATTTGGATTGGCAAATTAAGAGTTTGGAAATTCTTTCAAAGCACAAAGAATCTTTCCATGATAAGGAAAAGGAAGATGCCGCTATGAAGGTTATTTCTCAAGAGCTTAAGGAATTTATGAAGTTCAAGCCAATGCCTTTTGTAGCCCTCAAGAAGGAACAATACAAAAAGGATGGTGATTCGGCTTTGAGCACAGAGTTGCCATTTAATGAATTTGAACTTCTCAACTCAAATATTAACCTTATTAAGGCTTGCTTTGGAGATATTGAAGTTGAAATTTATTCACTTTCTCAAACATATCCAGATCCTTTGAAGAGAGCTACCAGAGCTCAACCAATGGATCCTTCATTTGGTGTTGAATGGGAAAAATAAATTATTTATAATTATTACTATTTAATCATAACATAATTTCGTTCGTGGCAGGGAAGGTTTGAATATTTGCTAATAGCTAAAGTCAATCCCTTAACTCAAAACTATGAGTTGCTTTGATCACAAAAAGTCCAATTATTCAGTCATCGTAAAAATTATTGAGTTAATTAACATTGGTTGGGAAAAAGAGTTTTGCAGACATTAGTGACATTCCGGTTCGAATCATCACTGTATAGAAGACTAAAGAAAACAGCTGTTGAATTAAAAAAACAATCCAATAACCTGGAGAATCCCATACCAGTGTTGGATCTGCAGCATTTCTCGTAAATTCATACTTATTCCAAGTTCGTTAATTTCATCCAAAAAATTCCACTTACAATCTTAAATACTGATGCTCCTCCAATAAGGCAGATATGAAAAATATAGGCCAATATTAAAAATTTAACCAATTTGAAAAAAGCTTGAAATATAAGACCCGATGTAAACATAAGAGTTCTTGAAATAATGATGTAGACAATAACAGCATGAGAAACAAGTGAAGCAACATGAACTCCTAATATTGCATAATAAGCATATGAATTTGTAATCAGAGAAGGACCTATTGCATTACACAGCAAATCTACAAACAATGAAATGAGAAGGAAGGTAATGCTTAATTTCATTTTTTTTGTATGATCAAATCTTAAATACATTCTCGGAAAAAGGAGGGAAACGAAATGCGTGGAATTGTTCTCTCACGCTTGAAGAATCCGTATTTCAATTCGAAAATTAATAAAAACTACAATTCTTTGTCTTTGGTGAATTGGTGTGATAGGTGATGAAGTAATGGGAAAATCGGTGACGACAATAATCAAAACAAAAATACATCACACCATTAGTTGACCGCTGCTGAAAAAATAGTATTATAACCAACAGATATTTCTCCAAATCATCAACATGTTGGCGAGTATTATTGGAACGGATTTTAAAGATCGTATTTTGTTGACGATTTCTTTAGTATTTGCATTGGTACAGTTAACCTATGCTCAGAGTAATAATGCAACTACCAACGGCACTCCGAGTATTGTTTTTGAAAAGACTAATGAACCAATGATGGTGTTTTTAGCAATAGGTGTTTCTCAATGGATTTCCTGTTATTTTGTTGCTACTATTATGTATAATTCAGCCATTTCTAGCCCTTCTTTTAAATTCCCACAAATTAGTGAGAAAATGACAGTTTCCTTTATTACAATTTTGAGATATGCCTATAGCGAACAACCACTATTTATGAGAAGAATTATTGATGCCTATTTTGTAAAGGCACTGTTTTATTTTATTGCCTTCTCTGTTGGTTTTTATTCTGGTATGTGTAATTAATTAGATTTTTACAATGTTCCTGATAGCTATTCAATTGTGGTTTGTTACAAACACAAATGATTTGAGCAAATTGACAACAGTCAATGTTTTTCACATTGAAGTTAATAGAGGAGTTTTGATTGGTGGTGCTTCCTTATATTTCCTAGAATTGGTTTACAGATCTAGAACTCAAATTATCATGATTGCGCACCATTTGGTAACTTTAGTAAATATTGTTTGGATGATTGAGTATGAAAAGACCAATTTGGCATATATGAAGATTTTCATGGTATATGTTTATTTTGTATTTTTGGGTAAGTGCTTGTTAGAATAATATTATTAACAATCCATTAGAATTCCCAGAATCATTTATTATGATTGGATATCGTTTATTCTGTTGTTGGGTTTCTGATTCTAAAATACCTTTGAAAATAAGAGTTGTCTACAAGAGACGTATGAAATATTCAGTACTTGCTCTTGCTTGGATTGATACAATTTTCAAAATTATTGGAAATATTATTGTTCTAGCTATGATTATTATTATGTGGGACGAATTCCCAGTTGAGGTCAGAATTGTATTGATTATTAGTTTTACTGTATTTTTAATTGCTCAAGCTTGGGGACCATACATTTTCTTCAAATTATATTTCAAACTTAGTAAGGCAATTGAAGAGGATAAAGAAAGAGAACATCGCGCCTTGTTAGAAGAAGATTCTGATGAATCAGCTCTTAGCACATACAAACCAATCAATGATGGTAACGAAGTTCAACTCAGAAGCCAACACATGTAGTTTAGTTTCTTATGGAATAAATAAGTTTATCAATTTTACAATTTTCATTTATTTGAATTGACACCCAGATTTCTATTCAAAGTTGGAAGGGAGGAGGATTGAGAAGGTTGTGAAGAGTTTTGTCTAGCAAGTTTGGCTTCTGTATTTTCAAAGAAATTTTCTCTAACATTCCCCCTTTCATAAACTTTTGAATAAATAGAGTATGCATCGTCTGAAATATATTGGAGAGGTGTGTTTGGTTCTTGTCCAATTTCCGAACGTAAACATTTGATGTATGTTGAAAGAAGTGAAAAACTGATGCTTGGGTTGAATGTTTTCCAAGTGCCAGCATAAAACTCCTCTAATCTAATATCACACCTATGTGGACGAACATAATCAAGTGTGCGGTTATCCTTTTTCTTTTTAGCTCCCTTGTTGTTTGTACTCTTATCGTTAATTGTTAATTTTGTTGAATCATTTTCCACTCTTTCCGATTGTATTGTTTCTTCTTGTGTTTGCTTGTTCATTTTTTCTTGTTCGTTTAAATGAGTTTGATGTGGCGCCAAATAAATAAACTTTATCTACAATTTAAAAAAAAATGAATCCAAATGAATTGTTACAGCTTCGACAAGCCCGACTTGAAGCTTTACGAGAAAACAAGAAGTTTAAGGATGAATGGGCAGAGAACAATGAAAAAATACATAAAAGAAATATGGACATTAAGAAGGAACGAGAAGCTATTGATATAAAAATTAAAACATCAATGTCTTTGAAAAAAAAAAGACAAGAGGAGGTAAGATGTCTTTAGATCCGATTATTAATTAATGTAGTTGAGAAAAAAAGTTTCAAGATCCGAAGTGTTTTCAGGCATTGAGGAGTTTGAAAAAAAGTTGGAGCATACCGAAACCAATAAAGAACCACAACTGGAAAAAGCATCTGTGCCAGTCAATGCTAATACATCAGTCACCTCAATAGAAAAACTAGAAAAGGAAAGTTCGAACACAAGAGATGCCAACTCTTATCTTAAAAAGATAAAAGCTAAAAGAAGTGAAGAGCATGCAAGTAGAAAGGAGAAGGAGCAAAGAAGAAGAAAAGTTCTAATGGAACAACAACAGGTGTTTAAAGACTTAGAAGAATCCAGAAGAAGAGAGGTACTACTGGAAAAATTAATGAAAAAATCTATGGAGGAAAGACAGTTAGCCAAAGAGTTAAACGAAATTAAACAATTAAAACAGGTGATGAAGGAAAATAGAGAAATAAGAGAAAAACAATATGCTGAAAGAAGAAGAAAAGATTTTGAAGAGAAGCAAAGAAGAGAAACTGACCTTATGGAAAAGGAAAAGGAGGAAAGAAAAATCAAAAAGAGGGAGTTAATTGAAAAGCACAAACTATTGTTGGAAGAGAAGTCGAAACAAAAAAGAGAAAAACATTGGAATATTTGCTTTGAGATTTCTAATCAGATCATTGATTTATCATTTAAAGAAATTGAATATGCTGAAACAACAGAAGGAGAAAAGCCAACAACAGCAGAGATTCTTGAATGGAGAAAAATGTTCGTAAAGGGTGTCTATGATGATGAATCCACAAAGGAAGATGATGCTGAGCTCGAACAGTCTAGAGAAATGGAACAAAGTCTTCAAACACATGAAACTGTTGATTTAGATGTGATTGATATGGCAGAATTTAAGGATTATTTATCATGTAAGGGAGTTTGGAAAGAATCTTCTGATGAAACAGAAAAGGTATCCAACTTTATCAAAGATGTAGTCTCAAAACTTCACGATAAGATTCATCCTCTACCTTCACCAAAGACTGAACCTGTTCTCAAGAGCAAATATTCATATAATGTAATTTTGACAGGAAAACCAATGAGCGGGAAATCAACTGTTTGCAAAAAAATAGCATCTCAACTTTCTCTCTTTCACATCAATACAGAGGCTATTTTAAAATCACTCCTGGATGGGGAGAACAAGTCATCAGAGTATTCAGAAATTGCTAATAGAGCTAGAGCCTGTTTGTTGGATGGTAGGGAAATAGATGAAGAAATAATAGTTGACTTGATATTATTGGAGATAGAAAAAGTTGAAAAAATAGAAAATACAACATACCAAGGGTGGTTGATAGAAGGTTATCCATTGACTCTGGAGGCAGCAAAAATTTTAGAGAGAAGAATATCAGGATACACACCATCTGTGGAGGAATTTGTTGGGACAGATTCTGAAGTCAAGCTGAACTCTGTTATTCTAAATCAAAATAGTTGCAAGAAGTCTGATGAAGAGCTTATGAAGCGTTTAGTACCATTCCAGGCATTCACATCTGTAATATTTATTGATGTTGAAGATGAATTAGTTTTCGAACGATTGGCAGACCAAAAAGTGGATCCTCTTACTGGAACTGTTTACCACATGATTTACTCACCACCTGAGAGTGTGGACATTTCTACAAGACTTGTACCAATTGATGAACATGTAAGATTGGACAAGGCTCAAATTAATTCCCAACTGGTTTCGTTTGCTAAATCAAAGCGTGAACTAATGAATTGGTATAAGAAATTTGAAAATGTGTTTGAAGCAAAAGAAAACAGTATTGATGATTTGGTAAAAGAATGTTCCAATATTATTACTAATCACAAGAGAGAACCATTCCAAAACCACATTCAAACGGAACCAGAAAATTCAGAAATAGAGCAAAGTGGTGGACCTGAAAAAAAAGAACTCGATGTTGAATTTTGCAAGTTATTCTTGAGTGAGTGGATGTCAATAGAACAAAATTATGTGGGCAGCTGCAAATTGGTGTTTAGGAATTTGAGAGATTTTAGAAAGTCATTCTTTAAGCAATTTTCAGATCTCAAAGAGCAATTCATGAACTTTTTACTTAGACCAGACGACAAACAAGTGTATATCACTCAATTCCAGAATGACTTCAACAGATTACCATTAGAACTTAGGAGTAATTCTCAAGTGAAAGATGAGCTTCATAGAAGGTCTGAAGATCTCAAGGAAACTCTTTGGACTCTATGTGACGAGAAAAAGTTAGAGGCAGAAAAGGAATTAGAAGAGCACCAGAAAGAATCATGGTTAAAAACACACAAAAAAGCTGTCACACGCCAATACATGCAACTCATTCAATTGGAGCTTAACAGATTTATAGAACAGAGCAAGTTTTTATTTGATTATTTTGTTGAACAATACTTTTCTAACGATTTAAGCATTGGTGCAACAATTGATCTAAAGAAAACTTTATCTGCCCCAATTCTTTCTGTAAATATTGAGGAGTTATTTGTTGATGTCATCTCAGGGGCTTCAAACACCAAATCAACAAACAAAAAGCCAACAAAACCTTCCACGAATTCCAGCACCAGATCAAAGATTGATCAACAAGACCAAGACCTTAACATTGAAGATTGCTTTGAAAGAGCAAAAACTACATGTGATACTCTAGATCTTTTAATTACACTGCAAAATTACATTGATAAAAACGGGAAAAAGAAAAAGGAGAAAACAAAGGATCCCTATGTTGATATTCCTTTGGAAGTGAGAGAGTGTATGGGGAAAGAGAAGGAGATATTTTTGAGAAGGATTACGCTCATTAAGGAAAGATGTCTAAATTCCCTTAAAGACCAACTTGAATCAAAATCTAATCATATTTTCGGCACCATGAGAGATTGGATAGGACAACGTTACAGAACCGATATGGCAAATATTGGTCTCCTTTCCAGAACCATACAAGATTTTATTGAAAAGGAAACTCCTATAGTTAACGAGATGAGAATAGAAGGTAACAAGTGTATAATAGATGAGAGTGTACAGATGACTAACCCGTTACCATTGCACTCTACAAGTAGATCTCAATTGACTACGCAAGAAGCTCCGGAGACAGTGGTTTCCTTCACTAAATCATTCACACCACATCAAGTATTTTCATTATACGAAAGGCTACAAGCACCAAGTCCTAGCGGATTTGTTGAGCTAGAAGAGATTACTACTACACTTTTAATTCTTATCGATTCAACATTCGGATCAATGGAACTGCCAAACCAATGGTTAGACTATGACAATGACAAGGTTAGAGAAATTACAAAAAGGTTTGATCCATTCAAGAAGGGATATATTAATTGGAGAACATTTTTATTATCTGCTTTATTTACATTTTTCCATCGTCTTCCAACCATTGAGGATATTAGAAAACTCCTTTTAATAGTTCATCCGCTTGTGTCATCTGGAGAAACCAACTTAAAGCAAGAACAATTTACGGATCTTTTAATCAGATGGATTGGCGAAACAGGTATTTCAAGTAATGAGGAAGAGGTATCAAAAGTGTTGTTCAACCTTTTCAAACCATTTATTAATGCAACAGTCTCCAACACTGTAAATATTAGAAGCGTTCTCCTTTACCTTTGTTTAGATAATCAATCAATTATTGGAACTCTCACAAAGGGATTTGAAGTATTGTCCTATCTGAATGGAACAGAAGGTTTGGATGATAGTGGTGTCTTTGAAATCATGAATTTTAATATTGATGTTGAAGAGGACGTAGAAGATTCATTTTCACTTTCTCAAATAAGAGCAGTTTTTGCAGAACTGAAAAAGTCAAAGTCTAGTGTGTCCCTTGAAGAATTTTCATGTGCCTCCATTGGCAAGACAATGCTAAAAAAAAGTGTACATTTGAAATTGGGTTCTGTATTCTATTAGAGAAATAAAACATTTACAATTTATTTTCGAGCAATTTCAATGCCATTTCTTCAGCTTCATCAAGACCAACAGTTTGCTTCTTCTTTTTTGGAACAATAGTTGGCAGATTGGATTGAGTAGCCATTAACTGGTCGAACTTTCTCTTCTTTTCGTCTGCTTTTTCTTTGACTTGCTTGTCATGTTCTGCCTTTTCTTTGAACCTTTGTGTTGTAGAAACTTTTTGCTCTGGTTGTTCCATAGCATTCACAAAGTCTTCATAAGATTCATCAACATCCTCTTCATCAGGCAAGGCACTTGTACTGGTGTTGGGAGTGTTGGCTTTAACAACCCTTTGGTAGTCAAATGGATCTTCCTCCAAAAGATCAGCCTTTCTTCTAAGCTCTTCCAATTCTTTCTCTCTCTTCTTTGTAATTTCCTTCTGATTTTTTAATCTCTCCTTATCCTGTTCTTTATCTGTGGAAGCAGTCTTTTTCATTCTAGTTTTAATTTCATTTAGAAACTCAGAACGATCATTAGTCAAATTGGATAAGTTGGTATTCTTTAATTCGCTCAAAACAGACTCCAACTTGGATATTTTCCCACCTTCCTTGTTAAAAATAATGTGCTTTTTTCCATCAATCTTTTGCATGAATTTCTTCTTATTTACATAGAGTGGGACATTATCCTTTTCATCCAATTTGTGATTTTCTCTTTTCATATAAAAGAAATCATCATCTGCTGTAACCTCCTCTCCTATTACAATCTTGTCTAATTCTGCCTTCTTTTGCATGAATTTGTCAATTTTAGATAATTTCTTCTTTTTCTTTTCTTCTCCCTCTTCTGGTTCATTTTCCAAATCTTTTTCAGAATCTGAATCGTCTGAGTCATCGTCTGAATCGTCTGAATCGCTAGATACAGCGTTAGGATCGTACTCCACCTGATATTGAATATCGTCATCTGCATCATCAACAGGAATACTGTCAATCATATTTTGAATTTTGACATCTTCCTCTTCGTCGCTTTCTTCATTTCTTGGATTTTCTTCTCCTTCTGCGCTATCATAGTCAACCTCTGGTTGCTCCTCTTCATCTCCTTTTTGAATTTTACCATTCTCTGTGGTTACGTCTGATTCTGAATCGCTTGAATCACTGGAGTCCATTTCATCCGAATCATCATCACTGCTTTGATCGTCCTCTGCATCATCCTCTGTCATATTAAGGCGTACTTCCTTCTTTACTCTATCGCTTGGGTTCAGGATCAATACAGGTTTAATAGCAAGCCCCAGCTTGACAGCAAATGCATCCAAATTGAGTGCCTTAAAATCAATATCATAACCATAATGTTTGTAAACATGTTTAAGATATGTTTGGAAATATTTAACAGCAGCTTGCTTTAAATTTGTATCGTGTGATAGAAGGGCAGCGAGTTGAGCTCTGATAGTGACAATCTTTTCTGGATTAATTTTCATTTCCTTTAAACTTCCTGTTTCCAAACTATCCTTATCAAATAAAAATGTTAAGAGAGGCTTTTCTTGTGGAGTTACAACAACGACTGATTTTCCATCAGCATCATTTCTAGCAGTTCTTCCCATTCTATGAATGTAAAAAGCTTTGGAAACTGGTGCATCGAGTTGTAAAACGAAATCTACGCGAGGAAAATCCAATCCACGAGCTGCTATATCTGTTGCAAAGAGAACTGCTGCTTTAGCTGATGTAAACCCTTCGAACATTTCTCTTCTAGAGCCTTGCGACATTCTTCCTGCCAATTTGAACATTTTAACTGATAGTGGTAAGTGTTTAAACACAGTATGTAAAAATGAGACTTGTTTCACAGTGGACGAAAAAACAATAACCTTCTTATTTTGGTGAGACTTGAGGAAAGAGAATAAAATATCAATCTTATCTTCCAATTGACATTCAATATAGTGTTGAGTTAATTGTTTTGGAACTGGTTCTGATTCGTGGACAGATATATATTCTGTATTTGTCTTACTTAATGAAAGTCGTGCAAGATCTTTGATATCTCTAGTTTGAGTAGCACTAAACAAAAGTGTTTGTCTGCTTTTTGGTAAGCCATCCAAAATTGAGTTCAATTCATTTCTGAAACCTAATTCAAGTAATCTATCAGCTTCATCCAAAACAAGAACTTGTAGGTTTGAACAAATAAATCCTGCTGTTTCATCCATATGTTGAAGTAATCTACCAGGTGTTGCAACAAGAATATTCATATTACAAATATGTTCTTTTTCCTCTTTTAAATTCTTAGTACCACCAACAAGTAAACCTGCTGAAAAATGGTGGTATCTTCCACAAAGTTTTAAAACTTCGAATATTTGCTGTGCTAATTCTCTATTTGGTGATAAAATCAATGCACCAAGTCCATCAAGTTTTCCCCATCTTTTTCTATATAATAATTCTAATACTGGCAATACAAATGCTAAAGTTTTACCGGAGCCTGTTCTGGCAGCACCTAGAATATCCCTTCCTCCTAGTGCATGTAGTATTGATGCCTTTTGAATGTCCTTCATAGTGACAAAGCCAGCTTTTTTAAGTGCATCTTTAGAATATTGAGAGATTGGTAATTCTAAAAATTTACTAAATTGTGATGGCAATGCTACAGAAGATTTGGTTGATGTTTTAGCAAGAGGGTTAATTCCTTTTGGTGGTGTTAATTCAATAACTTTTTGTTTAAGTATTTCCACTTCCTCGTTCTCCTTCTTTAACTTTTCAACAGGAGTTAACCGCGTAGATCTTGGCATTTTTTTCCTTCAAACATCTTAAGTCGTCTGTATTTAGTTTGTCTAAAGTCTTCCAACATTCAACAATAACCTTGAAACTTTTGTTTTAAATTGAAGGTGATAAAGGATTGATTTTGATTGCATAAAACGAATATAATTATTCATTAAAAAAAATGCTCAAGTCTAGTGGATTCATATTCAACCCTCGAGTCATTGCCAATAATGTCATCGGAATCACAAGGAAGAGTAACAATTCACCATTCATGAATTGTTATAATGCTCCATCAAGAGTGATTAGTGCCTTGTATCATTTTAACATTATTGCGAACAAGAAGTTTTCCTCTTTTACCAGTGGAGGAGGAGCCGATAGAACTCAACTAACTATTTATGAACAATTGAGATCAAGAACATCATCTCATAGAGAAGATAATGAAGATAATGAAGAAAGAGTAAAAGAAAAACCAAGAGTTGTCAATAAGAATCAGAGGTATTTGGACCGAAATGAAAAGAGACATTCCAGACAAGCTCACGATGATGGAAGCAGAAGAAGAGAAGGAAGGGATAGAGACTACCATAGTAGAGACAGAAGAAGGAAACAAAACCATTTCGAAGAAGATGATCCTTGGGCTGAAAAGCCAAAAGTAAAGAAATATTTACCGCCTCCTGAGCTCACTAGAAACAAATACATCACAGATGACTTGGAGCATCATTTTTCGAATAGCAAACCTAAGACTAAGGTTCCAGCCTTCTTTGCAAATATTTCTAACTCTGCACAAGATGTACAAAAGATGAAATCTAATGTAATCAACCATATTGCAGATCATAAAATGAAAAGGGGACACATTCAGAACATCTCACACAAGAACTCAACAACGAAAATTGAAACCCCAATTGTAGATAAGATTGATTCTGAGCTAAGTGAATTATTAGGAGGTGAAGATATTGAACTTTCACAAAATTCTAAAAGATTTGAAATTATTGATAGTATCGCCAATCTTGAAGATAATGCTCTCTTTGATGAAATTGAAAATGAAGAAATAGATCTCTCTCAAATCAACCTATCTCCTGAAGAAAATCGTTCAAGACTTCAAACTTTTTACTTTTCAACTCTTCCTGAATACATAGAAGAATGTTTATTGAACATTTTGAAAAATCAAGACTCAATGACAGACAGTGAATATTACAAATATCTCAATATGGAAAGGTTGTACATTACCAGTGCAAAACTTTCTGAAGATTATAGAACAATAACGTTAAACTATAGATTGTTGGTAAGAGAAGGTATTGATGAAATGGGAGAGGAAGCTAACCAAAGAGATGCTCAAATTATTGATAAATTATTTGCCACCCAATTTGTCAAACCAACACTAGAAACCTTTGAGAATATGCATGGTAGAGTGATGTTGCGTGATTTTGAAAAGCCAAAGACTATCAAACTCAATTTTAAGGGAATCAAATTGCATGAACCAAGTATTTTTGACGAGCCATTACCAAATGTTAAACCTGGTGAGAGAAGACCACACATTAACCCATTTGCAGAACTGCCATATTTTACAGGAAAACCAATGAGTGGTGAAAGAGCAATTAACATTCTCAATAACTTGGGTATTAGCATCCCAGACGATTCAGAAGCAGCAGAAAAAAAGAACTCAGATAAACCAACCACAACGAGAAAACAAAGAGAAACAAAATAAACATGCTGGATAATATCCGTATTATTGGTTGTTTTTGGATTTACATCTTTAATTCTTCTTGGAATTTTTGCAAGGTTTCCTCAGGAGTAAGTTCCTTCTTTTCATTCTTTTCAAAAAGAAACTCTGGCGCCTTTTCTTTATCTAAAAGTGTAATAGTTGCCATGGTTGCATTGTCACCCTTTCTGTTCTTCCACAATCTTTCAATTGATGTATAACCTCCTTGTCGTTCCTTGAATCTCTCTGGGAATGTTTGGATAGCTTTTTGGATAGCTTCTTCTTCATATAAATACGATTTAATTTGATTGTGGGCATGCTCGCTATTTCTCTTAGAAAGTGTAACCATCTTGTCGATGAAGGTTCTCAATTGCTTTGCTTTCACTATCGTTGTTGTTATTTTATCGTGTTTAATCAAGTTTGTGGTCAAACTTCTCATAAGAGCTTTATATCCAATCCATAACAAATTAATAAATGTAAAACATCCAATCCGTATCATGTTCAAAATTAACACGTTCCAATTTAATATCCACTACGAAATTTCGTTTACACATACCTTCTCTTTGGGCGGCGTCTCTTGAAAAATGTTTAAAGAAATGTCCTCTCATTTTTTGTATTTTTATTTATTCAATTTTTTCATATCAATTTGAAATTTATTATTAATAAACCTTCAAAGAGAGTGACCTGATTAACTACAGCTTATTATTGCAATGATTGTTACTTAAAATTTAACGTTGCCTCCAAAATAACTCTGTAGTTTTCTTTGTAGTTGCAAACCGCTAAAAAAATGATCAACCGACATCATTATGCTTTCATAGGTGATTCCAGAAAGAATGGAAGTGAGTACAATCCAATACAAATGTTATTTTAATATAGATCTTTAGAACCTTATGAGCCAAAGAAAGGATCAGACATAAACTTACCACCATTAGGGGTTAGAAAAGAGAAGGAAAGTGCAATTCTTGAAGCAGATGAATCTTCTCGGAATGATGTTTTTAAATTCAATAGAGATGATGTATTTAATTTTGATATTAAGGATATGAGAATATCAAGCACCAGGGAGGTACGTCAAAACCCAAATCTGCTCCAGGCCAATGCTCCCCCACCAAAGAGAACTAAAGTCACGTTCAAAGGTATGTGAGGAATTGATACTTTAGTACTTAAATACAACCAGATGCGGACGAATCAATGCAAGAGAGTGCTATTGCTGAAGGAATTTCTGTTGAGGATTGGATGAAGGAAAATGAAAATATTTATGATGTTAAATTTAGGAAGGATGAAAAAACAAAACAACAGGGAAGAAGGTCTCTCACCAGACCAGAGTCACAATCATCGTTGGATTCTAGTACATTAAAGGAAGGAAACACTAAACTACCTTATTTGAAGGATGTATTCATGAAGGAACGGGCTCCATCAAAGCAATTAGTTCATTATTTGGATATTATTGGAGGAGAAAAACAAGTGAATACAAAAAAAATACTTAAAGTGGCTCCAGATGACGAGGAAGAAATAGCAAAGTTAAAAACTGGTGATGATGCTGTTGCCTTTTTCTCGAAAGCAGGAAAAAGTAGTAGGTATTATTTAAACTATTTGGATAACTTTGATTTTTTAAAGCTGCTGTCAAGTTTGTATATTTAAATAGAGCAGATTCAAATGGAGTTGATTACCGACCATATGATCTAGTTGTAGTTTCTAAAAGTGACACTAACCCAGAATATTTTACCATGTCTTCGACAGGTGTTGTACATATTTGCCCAGGTCAACCTACTGAGTACATGTCCCTCTCTGAATGGATGAAAGAATCAACAATGTTTAACGTTCTAAGAAGAATTAGATTTTTCAAGTACTATCTTGTTCATAAGTGCTTTAGACTCTGGTATCAAAGTAAGTTGACAACCTTAGTCATTCAATTATCTAACGTATTTATCCAGATGCAAGATATCTTAAATATAGTAAGAAGAGAATGGATTTGGCAAGAAATTTCTTCCTTGCCAAGAAAACTTTCTCTTCTTCTGTCATGAAGATTCACAAACTTTCACACGACTTGCAATATACTCCAATTATGGACTTGAGAGATAAAGAAAATTCAAATGAGCCATCAGTAACTATTGAACAGTTCCATGAGGCTCAAAAAGAATTGAGATCAAAATCATCTAAAACCTTTGACGAAATTATTGAGAAAATGGAGGAAATTTTGGTACAACTTTGTGAGGATGTTACTTCTAGGTCAAGAGTTCCAGATATGAATGCTTCTGAAAATATTGAAGCCTATCTCAGTGGTAAAATACCTACTCTTGAAGCTGAGGATGATTTCACAGCTAAAAAATCCAAATCTATGGTTGAGGCCCAAGAGGAAGAAGAAAAGAGACAGAGAGCCCTTAAAAAAGCAAGAGAAGAGGCGGATATGCTTGGTAATTTCATTAGAGTTTCCGACTATATGGCTGTAGAATCTTTGGTAACTTTATCAAAGAAGATTCTCGACAAATTCAAGGTTACTCTCCAAGAAACCAAGTCAATACTTTTCCTTGTAAACTTACTTTTCAAATCCGATGGTTCTGACATTGTTTTTGAACCATCTGAGGGTGCAATAATGCATGTTCTTCAATCCAACTCTGATGAAATTGTAACAACTGTCAGTCAAGTTCCAAGACTTTTATACATGCGTAAATTCAAAGTTTATTTTGATAATCTGGATAAATTCAAGATGGAAGAACATTTAAGACAACTTCATGTTGGAAAAGTATTGCAGAGAGATGAGGTATTTAACTCAATCAAGTCTCAAATAGAAATGATGTTACACAATGATTTCTTGAAGGCGTTAGAATATGGAAAGGATTTCGAAGGATTGAAACATTGGTTCAAGTTTGGAAAAGAATGGGATGATAAGTATGCAGAAAAGAGACACACTGTCCAAGAATTTACTGAAAAAATTAAGCATGTCAATGATGCTCTCCTTGAGTTGAAGAGAATGAACTTTGTGCAAGAAAAAGGAATTCTTTTTATTGACAGCAAACAGTTAAGAAATACTTTGCAACCAATTATGGAGAGTATTTACGAGCAAATTAAACTTTCTATAAGTGTTACATCCCGAGAAATGTGTCTAGAACTTAATAAGAAGTTCATTGAGAGAGTAAGAATCATGAAGGAAGAGCCAACCAAGCTGAAGGACTTTGCCAAGTTCATAGATAACCACAATAAGATCAGAAAGGAAACTCGTCAACTCATGATAGCGGCTGATGAAGTTGAAAAGATGAATGAACTTGCTGCAAAGAACAAGGTTGAAATGGACAGAGCAGACCAAGTTGCTTTGGAATCATTGAAAGAAATTAAGGATGAGTTTTTGCAAGTATTCAAAAAGGCAGAACTCTACAAGGAGAATAATATGGCTTCAAAGAAAAGCGAGTTGGAAGAAAATGTTCAAAAGGTTAGTGATGACCTTTTGGACATGATGACAGTGCTCAGAAATCCTCCATTCATTACAGCTGATGCTGACCCAGTTGATGTTTTGGAAAGACTTTCTAGACTTGGTGAGGAGATTGCCCAATTTAAAGAAAAAACAGAAATCTACAAAGAGTACCAAATTCTACTTGAGGCACCAGTTAAGGAATGGACCAATTTAACAGGCGCTGAAACTCAATTCAATGTTAGAAGTCAAATTTGGAAGGCTATAGATGAATTTTCAAAGAAGTCTGACCTTTGGGATACCACTGACATCCAAAAACAAGATATTAGTGACATTGAGCAAGAGGTTGAAAAATATTATCAACTTGGAATTGAAATGGCCAAATTTGGAGAGGATGATGTTGTAAAGTTGTTGAAGAAAACTGTGCAGGTTTGGAAAGATAATTTACCAATAATTTTAATGATTGGTAATAAGGACTTGAAGCCTCATCACTGGGAACAAATATTCAAAGGTATGAATAAGGAATCTGCCAAAGGAGCTTCCTATACACTTAGACAATTGGGTACTCTTGGTATTTTTATGTACAAAGATTTGATAACAGACGTTTCAAAAGCAGCAACAGGAGAAGCTCAATTATTTAAAAGCTTGGAAGTTATCGCTCAAACCTGGAGAGAAACTGATTTTGATTTCAAAGCTCTTCCACATAGAAAAGATTTTTACATATTGAATCAAACTGATAATATTCAAATGCTCTTGGATACTCATAAGAGAACCCTCAGAGAAATGTTGGATTCAAAATATGTTTCTGTAATTAGAACTAGAGTTGAGGATTGGATAAAAAAGTTGGAAAATGTAACTGTAATATTCCAAGAGTGGCTTTCTTGCCAGAGAAGACTTTTATCTTTGGAATACATTCTCACATCTGATCTCATCAAGAAAGAGAATCCAGAAGATGTTGCCAAATACATTTCTGTCAGTTCAGAATTCAAAGATTTAATAAGCAAAACAAGTCTTAATAGAAATGTGCTGGTAGCTACTCATGAGGAAGGAATTTTAGAAACATTTGGTCGTTGGAATATGGCTTTTGATGAAATTGAGAGGAACGTAAAAACCTCAGAGGAGGGAGCTGCTGCTCTTGCTGAAGAAAGCGAGGACGACCAAGATGTTTCCTCTGAATCTGATTTGGATGAGCATGCCTACGATGAAGAGGATGAGTATTAAAAAATTCAAACAAAAACTATTTATTGTGTTTCGTCCATCTTTTTGTTTTGTTCTGGTTCTTGTTTTTGTTCAGTTGGCTTTTCTTCCTTCTTTGGTTCTTCTTTTGGTTTTGGCTTTGTGACAATTGGAGTGGCAACCTTTCTTAAATCCTTCTTACGATTTTCAATGAAAGCACATGTTAAAATTGGGTCAGAAGACTTGGCAACCTTATCTTGTTGAGCAAGTTGTTCATTCAACCAAGTATTTGTTTCGGATACCTTATCAGCAACTTTTTGTTTTTCTTCATTGGTAATATGGTTGTATTGTTCAGTATTGGCATTATCTACAAAGGTTTGGAATTCCTTGATTGTTTCTTGTAATTGTTTAATGCCTTCTGGTCTAGCTTCGAATTCCTTCAACCTATTTTCAACTCTATCACCAACCTTCTTGAGTTCAGCAAGTTTTTCTTGATAGACAGTCTTTGTTGTGTTTTCACCATCACCATATAACCATGATTCAGTATCATCCAATGTGAGGATAAAGTTATCTCTATCTTGATCATTAATAAATTCATAGAGATCACCACCTTCATAAAGTCTTTCCTTCATATTATAACAGAAACTTTCAACGTTATTCTTTGCTTCAGCAGTAGTACGAACGTCCTTGTCACGATTTCTCATTGATTGTTCAACATTCAAGTATTGATTGAAAAGCTCTGTAGTGATACCTGGAACTGTGGTGAGGACCTTCAAGTTGTGTTTAATAGTCTTCTTCTTCTTGACAAGTCTTGTTTTTGGTTTTTCATCCTTCTTTTCTTCAGCAGGCTTTTCTTGAGATACTTCTTCAGTTGTATCCATCTTGTTTTGTTCCAATTCTTCTTTTGGAATTGGTTCTTCTTCTTCAACTTCAATTTCTTCAGAGGCAGTAGCTTCTTGAACTTCAACTAAACCCAACATGTTGTGTCTCATCTTGATCTTAATCTTCAATGGTTCATTTCTTTGTGGAATGTCAGTAATTGTGAATTTACCCATAATACTACTAGTACCAGCTGGAAGAAGGGAAGGATCAGAGTAGACTGTAAACAAATCAAATGTCTTAGACTTGTTAAAAGTAAGCATCTTGGATGAAGGAGTACCTTCAAATTGTTTGAAAAGTGTTGATTGTTTCAATGAAGAGAGAACAGATGCTTCATCATCATCGACCATTTTGTCATCACTTTCTGGATTGGCAACCCATCCCAAATTGACACCATGATAAATTGAATCAATAACATTAAATTCACGAGCAAGAGTAAACTTTGGACTAATCATGGCAGCTTGAATAGCAGCTCCCTTAGCAACACTTTCAGTTGTGTTTAAAGTGGATTGTACTTCCTTTCCGATAATCTTTGCCAATGTTTCTCTAATAACTGGAATATATGAAGCACCACCCAACAATTCAACAGTTGTCAATTGTTCAGCTGTAATACCAGCTGATTCCAAAGCTCTTTTAACTGGAGCTTCAAATCTAGATAAGACTGGTTGAACCAATTGAATGTATTCGTCTCTCTTAATTTGGAATTGAATATCCTTTTCATTCATCAAACATTCAATTCTCAAATTAGAAACTGGATTAGAACTCAAGAATTTCTTCAATTTTTCACATTCTCTTGCCAAACGAATAACTGCCTTAGGATTTGTAGTAACATCCATCTTGTATTTGGTCTTGATTTCTTCAACGTAGTGGTCATACAAAGCCTTTTCAAGTGCATAAGCTCCCAAGTTTGGATCACTAGCACAAGATAAGACACGAAGTTGTGACTTTTTGAATTCAATAATGTAGACGGAAGTATCAAGGTGACCAACATCAACAAAGGCAATGTTTTGAGCTTCCTCAGGGAAATCCTTATAGATGCCATAACCCAAAGCAGCAGCAGTGACATCGTGCATAACACGAATAACATTCAAACCAGCAATTTCAGCTGCTTTGACCACATCACGTCTTTGAATTTCATTAAAGTAGCAAGGTACGGTAATAACACAATCGGATTCACGGAATCCAACAGAGCTTTCAACATCATCTACAATTTTACCAAACAGCATACCTAATAACTGAACTGGGCTAAGAAGTTTGGATTCAGCATCGTTATCATGGAGCTTATAACCATCAATCTTGAATAGAATTTCATCATTTGGGCCTTGGAAAATTGGAACAGAAATATTAGCATGGAGAACTTCTGGTGTAAGTTGACTATATTTTAATCCAATGAATCGTTTAATAAGTGAAATGGTTCTTTGATAGTGACTGATTTGTGCACCCATACCACTTTCTCCAATCAATCTTTCATTTTCCGAGAAGGAAACATAGACTGGTGTATATCTTCGGGAGAATTCATTGGTAACAATATCAATAGAACCTTTCTTTGCAATACCAACTACACAATTTTGAGAACCCAAATCAATTCCGAGAACTGGCATATTTATAATCTAGATTATTTAACAAGTAAAATTCTTGTTGTATTTGTTGTGGCCACGTGGTGGAGTCTTTTTTTTAAAAGTTATTTTCTATGGGCTGCTTTCAAGTTTTATTGTGATGGAAGTAAATTTAGCACACACGGAATATTCATCTAGGAATTGTAAAATCCGAAGTAAATTCCGAAGAAAAGGTTTTATTTGATTTTTTGTCATCCTCTCCAATAACAAGCCAAGATTTAATAACAAAGCTCCCAAAACACTTCTATCGTTGGGTAGCCAGTAGTTTATTGTCACATTAAAAATACAAATATCCTCCACCACCAAAATTTGTTGTTTGTCTCTTTGAAAATAATGAAGAGAAGAAGCTGTGTGTCACACCAATACCATCATCTTCTAGGTTTCTAATTTGAAACTCTTTTACCTGTTCTTTGGCTCGGATGTAGTTATCTGATAACGTTAAAATATTTGTTTTTTCTCTTCTCTGCAGTGAAGAAACGCTTCGAGAGAGTCTTTTTCGATAAGTTTCTTGATCAATGATTTGAGAGGCTTCATATGAAAGGTTTAATATTAAACCTCTTGTGTCTTCATTCATCTCTGAAGAATCCAATGTTTGCTTTCGTTTTTTCGATAATCGTTGACCCATTATTTTTTTACAATATTTGATAAACTATTTTTGTAAATAGTTTAAAAGGAGAAATAAACGCTTTTTTTTTCGTTGTGAATAATATGTCCTGAGGCAAGACAATTTTTGAAAGAGATAACATTAACATAGGGAAGAGAACATAGCGTATATCTTGCCATCTGAGTCATGCATGGTGTGGAAGTATTGAATAGGGCTAGGAAACAACATCTCTTGTTATCAACATTTATTAATTCAGATATTCACCAAGAAAAATGATTGCTAAGTTCAAATCAATATTGAAACTATTTCTACCTTAAACTGAAGACTACTAATCTTTTAACTCAAAATCTGGATGACAGCCGTTTTAGTAAAGCTCTGCTTTTGAATTGGATGAACATCAAGTTTTTCAGTCTTATTGTCTTGTACATCAAATCCATTCATTACCTTTAATTCTATAGAAATTGGGAAATATTATTTATTTTCGAGATTTGTAAGAGTTTTTCTCTTCTTCACTTAGACTCTTCCAAGCTTCTGCAACTTTTTTTGAAATCTGGTTGATTGTAAGATTAGGATGTTGTTGTTGAAATTCGAGAAAGTGAATTTTGCAGAAAATATTATATGCATTGAGTGGCTTCTTAAGGACTGGAGTTGAATTTTTTGACTTTTCAATGTAAGGTTGTTTTTCATCATTGGAAAGGGATTTCCACTTCTCACCTATAAATTTAGAAATTTGGTTAATAGTTAAATCAGGATATTGTTCTTGGAATTCTGGAAAGTGAACTTTGCAAAAAATGTTATATGCGTTAAGTGGTCTTTTGACTCGAGAGTACTTTCCATTGTTATCCTTAATTATTTCCGAGAATTCATCATCTAATTGAAGAAATAGCTCACTATTCGAAAGGTCTCCCAGTTGAGCGACACCCATAACAACGGATCGCTTCAAATAGCGATCACGCTCATCTTGCATTAAAGCTTTCCATTGCTCTCTAAGTAACAATGAATTCGATGCAGCATCTCTATGTAGTGGAACTGTTTCTCTACAATAAAGTTCAAACCCTAAACGATCCTCTTCAACAACTTCAGCACTTACATTACTTGGGTTGACAGGAGAACTTGATACAGTTGAATGAGTATTGTTAGAATCTGATGATTCTAATACTTCGCTTCCTGGATTGATTGATCCATGTGTTGTATCAATTAAGCTAGCTAGCCTTGACCTATCAGCAGATGAAAATAGAAAATGCCCATTTCTGTCTTTTCTAAAAAGTCCAGATTTGATATACTTTCTCTTTTTCTTAATACCTTTCTTGTTACTTATTTTGCTATAGTTGTTATTGGAGTTTTTAGGTATTATAGAACTTTCAATGGCTGATGATTTATCGAGTTGATTAATTCTTTTATCATCATCTTCCTCTTCACTCTCAGACATGTCAGAGTCCACAGTACGAATCATGTCTTCCTTTTGATCAGAAACACCTAATGACATAGTTGGTTCATTAGCCAGTGAAATATCAGTGCAAGTTAACCCGTGTTCATTTTGAATCAAACTTTCTTTGATCCTATCGAGTACAGGTTGCAAATACTTTCCATATAAAACAGTTGGCATGACAAGTATCTTGGTTTGCTTAGTTTCATCTGCATTGAGCACGTTGATGTTACTGAATAAATTGTTTTCATCAATAATGCAATCCTCAATACTGTGGTAAATGATGGAAGAAGATTGGGTTGTGTTGATATCCGTATGAATATGTTGTTGTGGCACTAGTTGAAGATGAGTTGGATAAGTATTATTTAAATTATAGTTTGAATGGTCCAACATTGAATTGAAAACAGGATTGCTTGATTGAGTGAGGTATTGAGTTAAAACTTGATTAATATTCAAATAACCTGTTTGGGATTGGTTCGTGATTGGACAACCACTACCCAATAGCTTCAAATGTTCATCAATAGCAGCAGAGATATTTGTCACAAGATTGTTTCTCAAAGGAAAAGATCCTCTTTGTTGCATGAATCCTATATTGTTTGAAGACAAGAATTCCATTGTATCAAGAGTTCTTTGCAAGTTGGTGGTATGGGTGATGTAAATATTATTATTGGCGACTAACAAGATGGTTAGTTTAGAAAATATGGTTGGTTCAGCTGTTTTTTAAACTTGGTGCCTGCGACAAGCTTCGGATCCTTGATTTACTAGAGGATTACTGGAAATAATATTCAATTAATAATTTAATATTATTATTACATGATGATTATTCAACAAAAGTGTGAATTTTAATTTTTGTTAGTGGTTTGTTATGTTTAGGAAAACTAACCTTATGGTGGTTGGTTTGTTTTTTTGCGTTCGTATTTTTGAAAGTGTCGACAATCGGAGTTTGGCTTAAACGGGTTTATTAGTTTGAAGTAATTTATTGCTGGTTGTTAGGAATTACTGAGCCAATATCGTCATCATCATTGAATTCATCATCTTCTTCCATAGTCTTTCTTCTACAAACCATACCTTCCTCACTTTGCTTGAAGCCTTTTTTGTATTCCTTTAAAGTTTCAGACACTGGTTTGGAGCTCTTAAACTTCTTGTGACCATCAACATTAATATCTTTAGACATGAGTGGTTTCATTGCTGTTTGAAGACTGTTAAATAATTGAGGATAAATTAATTCTTGATTAGCTAAGAGTGTCTTGACACGAGCTCTTTCTTTTGGTATTTCAAAACAGGCTGGGCAATTTTCATTAATGACAGGCAAACCACTTTCCCATGCGAACTTTTTGGTTTCTGTCTCTCTCACATAGATAAGTGGACGAATAACACGTAAATCTCCAACATCAATAGTATAGTGAGCCTTCATAGTTCTCATAAATCCGTTGTGGAAAATAGACATGATAAAACTTTCAGCTAAATCATCAAGATGTTGACCAAGTACAAGTACATTATAACCTTCTCTTCTGGCAGTATTGTACAAAATACCTCTTTTCATTCTGGCGCACCAAGCACAAATTGAAGAAGCATCACATTCTTTTGCGCCTTCAATAACAGATTGGGATTCATAGAAATATGGAACTCCTAATTGTTTACAATAGTTAATTAATGGGGAAGGGTCATAGCTTGCAGTTTGAGGATCAACTGTACAAGCACCAAATTCAAAATTGATACCCAAGTTGCTATATTGCAATGCATGTAAAACATGGAGTAATGTTAGAGAATCTTTACCACCAGACAAACCAAGTAATAATCTATCACCTTCTTTAATCATATCAAACTCACGAATGGCTTTCTTGACAGGTGCCATAATTGACTTGGCATCAACTCTTGGCCACATCTTGTAGTGATTTTTCAAAATTTCTCTTCGTTTCTTTTCATCATCAACATCTCCCGTAATCTTATCGAAAACCTTTCCATCCAATTTTGGTCTCTTTGGAATATATTTCTTGGAAGCCTCTTGTTGTTTCCAGTCACCTTCAATTAAATCCTCTTCAATGCATGGCATGTCTAGGATAGAAGATTCAACCAAAGGAGTTACAGAAATAGGTTCAACAATAGGTGGTTGTGAATCATTTTCAACATTTTCAACAGGTATGATTTCAGAATTAAGTGTTGATTGTATCAAAGAGCTTGTCAATTTGGTATTATTACTTTCATTTGAGACAAGATTAGAAACATTAAAACCAGTCCATGGATTAAGAATTGATTGTTTGTAAATTTTTGTAATATCACCACCTTGTAATTCTTCAACAATTTGCTTTGGAAAAACAAACCATCTCCATTTTTCAGCATGATCAATTTGTTCATCCTTTGTTGGGAGATTTTCCTTATTAATAATACTATTTTCTTTCAGCAGGTTTGTGTTTGGTTTGTTGAGAAGAAGTAAATCTTGATCTACAATTCTATACTTTGGATTTGAGAATTCCTTTACAGCTTGTTCAGCAGACTCTTCAGCTTGTTTCAGATATGTATCATATTCTTTCTTTGGTGAACTAATCTTATATCCAATTTCTTGTCTATATTCAAGTTTACCATTTTTGTAAGAAATATTTTGTAACCATCTTCTTGTTGGAAATTTTCTGTTATTATTATGAATCCATTCGCCTGATTCTGGATAAAAGTAATAATATGGCAAAAACTTGTAGCCATTTTCAGCAACAAATTTTACGGATTTAACAATATATTGGAATGTATCTTCATCCATAAAATAATTAAAGTTCAAACGAACAAAACCAGGTCTCAAAAACTCATAATCATCATCTGATAAAAGTACATTTTCCAAACTCTTAGCATCGTTATATTTGAGACCAAAGAGGAAATGAGAAAATGGACCAGCACATGCACAACCAGATCTAGTTTGGATGCCAAACAAATCATTCAATAAAATTGAAACAAATGTAGATGGAAGGAAGGAGTTATGGTGTCTTACTAGGAAGCTGAATATTGGTAAACGAGGAGTGTTCTCATTGTGGCCAAGAATTACCAAATTTCTTGTTGACTTGAAGGATTCAAAAGCACGTTCAGTGAAATTAGTCTCAATTTGTGAAATCAATTGAGTGCCAACAGCCTGACGAAGTTGGAAAATAAGACCACATCTGACTGATCCTAAAATTTCAGGAGTACCACCTTCTTCTCTTTCATAAGACTTTTTAACATAATGATGGTCTCTGTCAGTAACAAAGAATACAGTTCCACCGCCTGGGTTTTCAGGAATCTTATTTTTAAAGAGATGTTTTTTAGCAACAAGTACTCCTGGTGTACCTGGACCTCCAATGAATTTGTGAGGACTAAACACAAGAGCATCCTTATAACAGAGAGCTCTTTCCTCGAGAGGAATCTCCTCTGCAACCTTACCAAAAGTGTGATCTAAATTCTCTGTAGAAACACCTCTTGGATTCATATCTATTTTAACATAAGGAGCTGCACAAGCATAATCCCAAACTACATATCCACCATATTTGTGAATTAAAATTGAGATCTTGTTAACATTTGGTTCAAGAACACCAGTCACATTTGATGCTGCAGAGAAAACACCAATAAGCATTCTCTTTCCGTTATTATAATATTTTAACTTGTTTTCCAAATCCTCAAGATCAGCAACTTCATTTCTAGTTGGGCTAGAATCATTTGATGGTAAATAGAGTTTGATTGGAACAATGTGACAGCAGGATTCTCTCCAAGGAAGAATATTTGAATGGTGTTCAGCTGGACCAACAAAAACTACAGGTTGTACCTCATCAATTTCTTCACTTGATTCAATACTATAATAATTGTCATAAAATCCATTATTTGATTGCAAATTTTGTAAATTAGATGATAATTTCTTTTTGCTTTGTTGTTGAGAAGAAATGGTAAATTCTCTTTCCCATTTTCTTCTTTCCATTTTCATACTAGTTTCACCACCTCTTTCTAAACCCAAAAGATGTACTAATTTGTTAACAGCACTTGTTGAACCACTTCCACTAAATATTAAAACATCCTTTTTACCACAATTCAATGCATTTCTAATAATATAACGTGATTCATGTCTAAAAAGAGTACTTTGAAGACCAGTAATTGAACTTGTTGTGTGTGTATTGGCATACATGGTCATTACTTGTTTCTTCATAAAATCTTCTAAAAAGTTGAGAGATCTACCTGAGGCAGTGTAATCACAATAGGTTATTTTTCTATAACCAAAAGGTGATTTAAAAACTTCATCATCTCCAATAATTGAATCATGAATAGTTTGTATGAGAGCAGACTTTTCCTTTACTAGAGATTCATTATCTAAAATTTAATCAGATAAATTATAATGACTAGATTCAATAGATAATACATACCTGTTAAACTAGCTTCCTCTTCAGTATCGTTTGTTGCACTTCTACCACCTGCTTGTTCGTGGTAAGAAACACGGAAGAAGGCTCTTGAACGTTTGGCAATAACAGATTCCTCTTCTTCTAAACCAACATGTTCACTAACTGTCGGGATGTTATGGTTGCTATCACCACTATTATCTGTAATCATTTAAAATAGTAACGGGCGACTATGGCTATTTTTTTCAATTCAAAAATTTTTAGTTCAAATTTAAAAATCGACAACCTTCGCTTAGAATAAATTAGTTTAAAAACAAAAGGTGGATATTCAACATTGAATTTATTTACAATAATTAACAACTATTCCTTTAATTTAAGATATAGAGAATGCAATAATCTGGACTTTCTTAAAAGTGGTTCAGTCTCCAAATATAAAATTACATCTTGAGGTGTTATTACAATTGATGATGGTCGTTTTCCAAGTTGTGACGAGTCATCATCAAACTCTTGCCCGTTGTTTTGTTTTGTAGAGTTGGTTACATTGCTTGCAGAAGGAGTTTTTTTAAGGGTCGAAGATGTCTTATTTGATTGACTCAAATTTGCGATTGAGGATTTCTTTCCAAGTGCAACGTCAATAGCAACATTCATATCAGACATTTTTTGTTCTTCATCCTCTTTTGAACTTTGATTTCTCTTTCTCTTTCCTTCTGATGATCCAGATTGTTTTTTTCGTTGGGCTTCTTTGGAGCGTTCCTCTTCCTCTCTTCTTTGTTCATCCTCTTGTAAAATTTTTTGTTTGATTTTCAATTCTCTATTTACCAAAGAATAATTACTATTTGAAGTAATCTCAATAAAGGAGGTATTATCACTGGCATTAATTGGGGTATCCATTCTTGTTTTTGAGTTTAATACTAATTCCTCAACTATTGATCTCATTCTATCCTGAACTGCCAATGAAATAAATTCAACTAGAGCATCACTCACGGTAGGCTTCAATTGTTGAGTTTTAAGAATACGATTAATCTTATTTCGTAAATTGGTAGAATTGAGAAAAGAAACCTCTGGTTGAAATCTACTAGAATAATATGAGTGCACTTCATCATCATTGGCAAAAGGATGAACAGGAGTTTCTGGTTGTTGTTGATCCTCTACTTTTTTCTTTTTTGATGGAGGTTGTGTTGGAATAACTTGTGATGGTGTTGATTGTGGTTGTAATGGAGGAGGGATTGATGATTGTGGAGGTTGTGTGACTCCCATACTACCACCGTCAGCTTTAGAATTTTTAATTGATTGAAGTTTCTGTATGCAAAGTATTGAATGAATTGGTATTAAATTCTTTAATTAAACTTACCTTAAGTAACTCTCTTGCTTGTGGATTATTTGCAACAAAATTCTTTCTATCTTCTGCGGTCATTGTTTTCATGCTTTTAAACATTATTTGTTCCTCTTCAGTAAAAGGGGTTGGTGTTTGTGACGGTATTTGTATAGGTTGAGAAGTTTGTGAAGGATTTGGTAGTACTCTAGTTTGTTGTTGTTGTATTAATGTAGATGATGTTGGTATTTGTATAGGTTGAGAAGGTTGTAACGGAGTAATAGAAGTAAATCTGTCTTTGATATCCTTTATTCTCTCCGTTAGAGCTCTTACATCTATGAGTCCTGTAATAAATTCATCCTTTGCTTTTTGAAGTAAAAGTCTTCCTTCCGGGAGAAGAAGCAGGTTCAATTGCTGTACTTTTTGCTCCAACTTGAGAATGACTGTTTGATTAAGTTGTGTTGACATTTTTTTTATTAATAAAAATTAATCAAGTGTACACTTTGAGAAATAATGTTGTTTTTAACTATTAATCAAGTAAATGAATTGTTGCAAACAAGAAATTTTGTGCCAAACCTTCATCAAACTTAGATTTTGATTTTTAGAAAATTTATTCCAGTGTCTAAAGACCTCTAGAATGGCTTTTTGAATGTTGAAGGAAGTTTGAGAGGATGATGAATCTGTCCACAAGGGCTATATTATCCCTTAAAAACATAATCTCAAACGTTAGCTCAATATTCAAAATATTGCTGATATTTGTAAACTCATTCTTTGCACAAATTGTTTTTAAGAATGTAGATCAATTATCACAAATTTTTACACTATTGCATTTTACTCCAATCTTGATAACAGTTTCCACTTCTCTCGGTATGCGAATTTAGACAAAAAAGGCTTAATATCGACTTCGGGTTGAAACCGAACGGCCTCCATCAAACAAAAAAAATATTCACACTCGTAAACAAGGTCATCTTTGATATTGTTTGTTCAACATAAAATCATTATCATAGTTAATCGGATATATAATATAATGGCCCAACTTGCTGTTATTACCCATAATGCCATAAAGGATATGGGAGTTTTTTTTGATTGTTATATACCAGTGCAAAAGAATATTTCAACAGTGTATCCTGCTGATAAATTGTCTGATTTGAATGGTTTTGATGCTGGACTTGTTAATTTTTGGTCATTCATGTTACAAAATTATTCTTTAAATATGGTAACAATTATACTCCCTTTCACAGTTTTACTTTTAAACTATGTTTTTGTTTGTGGATTCATGTGGTTCATTGAACAATGTGACTTTTCATTCTTGAGGAAATACAAGATTCAACCTGTAAGTATTATTTATCGGAGTTGGAACTGACAATTATTTTAGAAAAAGTATAATAGTGGATCTAAAATTTTTTGGGCCACTCTTTATTTACTTTACACTTACTTTGTTATTATCCTACCAATGTATACTGCTGCATTCTATATTTTGAGTCAAGTGGATTACTTTAGTTTGGAAGTTTTTGATGTTCCAAACTGGAAAACTTTGGTATGGCAAATTGCTGTGTGTTTATTCTTTGAAGATTTTGGTCACTATTGGTTGCATCGTTGGATGCATACTCCTTGGGCTTATAAGGTTATTCACAGAAGACATCACGAATTTGATGCTCCAAGCTCACTTTCCACCAGTTATGCCCATCCAGTTGAAATTGTAATTCAAGGTATTGCTACATTCTTGGGACCAATCATTCTCAGACCACACATTTTAACTCTTTTCATTTGGGTCAACGTTAGACAGCTTGCTGCTTGTGAAACTCACTCTGGTTATGATTTCCCATTCTCTCCAAATAATATCCTCCCATTCTTTGGAGGTGCTGATTTGCATGATTTCCATCACAGAACTTATAATGGCGCTTACAGTTCGAACTTTGTTTGGTGGGATGTTTTGTGTGGAACTGATAATGGTTATTTTGAATGGAAGAAGAAACAACAATCAAAAAGAGAAAAAGACACTTCTGACGAGAAGAAGGACAACTAAGCTCAAAAATGTAATCTAAAATTGTTTGGTGTATACCAATAAGTCAATAAATTCAATAATTGAAAATAATTTATTTTCTTCTTGTAAAACATCTCAATTTGGAAACAATTTTTTCCAAATTTTCAAAGAAAGTGCGCAAATTTTTTGCTCTAAGGTCATATTCTGTAATTCCTTCCAATAACAATTGGAAACCTTTTGCAATATCTTGAGAGTGATTTGGTTCATTCATTAAAACTCCTTCAACAGCAATTCTGAAACTATTTTGATCCCACAAAATGAGGCCGTAGAGAGTATCACTAATGTTGTGCAAAAGTTCAATATCGAAAACTTCATACAGCAACATGTTCACACTTTCCCTTATTAACATTCCTACAAACGATTGATCTTGTTGGTTAAAAGATAAAGGATATTTAGCCCTATGCGAACTTAATGAATGAATGGCATCAAAACTGTCTTGTGCAATATCAAGCTCGAAACTAGAATTATGTGTCACAAATTGGAAAATTTAAATTACTTACTGCCTAATACCAAAAACGAGAGAGTTAATGAAATGATTGAATAATTGATTTGGTAATAAAGCAACCTTCTCAGGATACATTTCCATCATGAAACCAATAAGTTTAAAATATTGTTTGCGAAGAGGGGTGAAATCCAACAGCTCAATAGTTATAAGAGGCAACATTAAATGAATTCCTTGGAAAACATAATTCACAATGGTATTTTGGGTATTTTCATCATTTTTGACATGAACCTCAGCAGAAAATACTCCTACACTATCAAAATCAGAAAAGTCTAAAAAGTCTTTCGATATCATAAATGTTAAGGTTTTCAAAAGAATTAATAAGTCCTTATACTGTTCTTCTTCAGAAAGGTCATCAAGGGCGTTTCTTCTCTTTGAATTTGCATTAACGGATTTTTTAGCATTCTGTTGTACAAAGGATTGAATCATTATGAGACAAGTGTGGAAAAGAGATTTGCATTGATTTTTTGTTATATGTGGAATGAATGACTTGACACAATTTTTGAAAACTCTTAGAATTAGAGTGACAAATTGCTCGTGAAGGTGGTATTGATTTAAAAGTTTGATAAGATTAATAAGGATTTTTTCTGATTCAAAAAATGAAAGCATAATTTCAGCAACATCTGAATTTGTTGAACCTTTGGCTATTCCTAAAAATTTCTCAAAACAATAATCCAATTGTTCCATGATTTGAGGTTGTTGATATACTTCTGTAAAATCACTTCTGGAAAGTATTGAATTGAACTGATCTCTGAGAGGTGTTAAAATTACTTTTAGAACTTGATGTAACTCTTCAAAATCTTTCTTGTCTTGTATCTTTTTGATAAAAGATGCACAACAGGATGTAATACATTGAGTTAGTTTGCCTTTGATTGAGTTTGAAGCTTTCTGTAGGGTATGATAGGTATTATAATCATTCTTTACCATTTCTACGAAAGTATTAGTTCTGATAAGACATTTTTGGATAGATTTTTTTCTTGACATTGTCATGAATAATCTAATTGATTCTAGACATGTTTCGTGCTCACTTGACCAGTGTACAAGGTTATGAGAAATTTTTTGTAGCAGATAATCCACAATTTTCACACCGTTTTCTGATTGCTCCCCGTACATATGTATAATTGATTTGCTAATACTCTCAGTATGGTGAGATATTTCAGGCATCAAATATGATTGTGCCCATCTCCAAAAGAACCACATTAAAATTTTTGCAATTCTAGGACTAAGCATTTGTGGACTCTTGGAAAGGCAAAGAAGTTCAAATTGAGAAAACTTAATTATAGAGTTAATAAAGTTAAAGAAAACATTATCTGAAGATCCATCTGTTAAATCTACGATCTCTAATGGGAGTGTAGGTGCTTCACCTTCTACATGATCAGCAACTGTATAACCTCCAATTTCTATAATCCATTCAAAATCTTCCCACAAACCATCCAATTGTCTGTTTTGTGAATTTTGGCCAAATAGGTTTTGTAAGAGGGAAAATCTGGTAGAAAATTTGTGGTATAAAAGTTGTAGAGATGGTTCTGCTAGTTGTCTACCTAGAACACCAATAGCATTCAATTGTTCATCAACAACTGACTCTTCATTTTCATATTCATCATCTTCAATATCGGATGGTGGTCTCTGCTCTGGAACTTTGAGATCAACATAACTCTTGTAAATTTCAAAGCAACATTGTCTAACTAAATCTGATCCCTTCATATCTAAGTATAAACCTGATGGTGAATGACGAGCTGATGTTAGGGATTCACAAATCAAGCTCCAACATTCAAGAAGAGTGGTCAAACTATCCAAAATAAATTGATCATTAAATTTGGATGATATTTCAATTGTTCTTATGGTAGCTTTTGTAAGATGTTGAATTATTTCCATAAATTGTGCTTGGTTTAAATGATAGTAAATTTCTATGAATGTTGAAAATTTAAAATTAGTAAATAATCGATAAATACACTGAGAACAATCATAAATTTCCTGTCCACAAATTAATGAAAATTCCAATGATGTAACATTAGAAAGAGCACTAAATATGATTAAATATATCAATATTAAGTTTTACAAACCTATTCATTAATGAAAAAATACTTGACAAAAGTCCAATAAAAAAATTCAATTTAGAATTTCTATCTGTAAAACAGTCGATTGAAATATTGCACCACTGAGTTAAACAAAGTCGTACTTGATGTGTAATTCTAATAAAAAGTTCAGCGTCCAAAGCATTTTGATTAGAAGATGTAATAACAAGGCCTTGGCGAAATTTTTGATGGAATTGAATTAAAAGTGTTAAGATATCAGTATTAGAAAATCTTTCCTTCCATTCCTTGGATGATGGAGAGATTTTGCCTTGTTCTAGGAACGCAGAACCAGAACCACCTCCACTGCTAGCATACTTATTTTTGTAAATTTTAGTAGAAATAATAGTCTTCAATGAACTCATTTCATTAAATGGAGAAAAATCCCAACAAAGAACCTCACGTATCAGTTGAAGAGCATTGACTGACATTTTTAACAGTTCTGAAATTTCATTTGTAACAACTCCACAAAATATTGATTCATCCTGGATGGAGAGAGTTCTTTTTAAAATGTCGCAACCCAATACAAAACAATTGGATAAAAAATCTTGTTGGAACATTACTCGAGATTTTTCATGAAATTCCCAATTCATTCCAATTTCAGATGATGATCCTCCAAGAGAAAATTCAGTAATTAAATTCAGTAATAATTGAAGAGCTAAATTTTGGGACATTTGTTGTACCTGTGGTGAATCTTGGCTAAGAAGTTGTTGAATATGAGTAAATGTCATTTCTCTAAATTGTTTTCCTCCATTATTTTCATCAATCCAAGATCTTTTTTGAATAATTGAGTAACCTTGTAATAATTGATTAATTATTTGTTGTAAAATAGAAGGAGGTTGAATTGAACCAGCACCAGAACTGATAGAAGATGGAACATTTCCTCCCAAAACAACAGAGGCAATAAATTCAAATAAATATTGACTCAAGTTTAGTTTCATACTAACATCCAAAACATTCCATTCTTGAACAATAGATTTCTTGATGATATTTGAAGCAAAAAACTTTGTTACTACACTATATTGTGGTCCCTCTATGAAATTATTAATAACAAATATATTTAAAATTATAATGATGATTACGGAATAAAAACGTACCAAGAATATGTCTACAAAAATCGTATGGTTGTGGTTGGTTTTGACAATGTTGAATAAAAGCTTCATACTCCTTTCGTTTCCTATTATCAGCAACCTGAAATAAAAATTGATGAATAACTATTTTCTTCTCTCAACACTTACGATATTCAAGTTTGAACAAGCTTCCTCTAGCTTTTGACCCAAATCATCGAAGGGTTGAAGAGGTTTTTGTGGTTCCATTTTTTAAAAGTTGCATTCCAAATAGCAACATTATATAACTCACCTCATAATGTTTAAACAAGATCAATTTGTAAGAATTCATTACGGGAGAGTTCTTGGTTAACAGAATTGTTGCTAAACAAAACCAACAAACAATATAAAATAATATTTTAAATTCACCTTCAATAAAAAAAAATGGGCAAAGACGATGATGAGGTTACCAAGTTTCATGGTTATGACTATAGATCCAACTCCAATGTTGTACTAACAACAAAGAGAAAGAAAAGATCACAAAATCAAGAACCATCAGGTGAACCAGAAACGTTGTCCGGTAAGGATTTACACAGAATGGGTGATCGTGTTATACACTCAAAACCTCCTGCCTCTGCTAAAAAGAAGAAAAAACAGGAGCAAAAATTATCATTTAAAAAAAAACAATCTATTCTGGACATTAATACTTCTCAAGAGCATTATAATCCAAAAACAGACGAAACTAGGACAGTTTATGAATCAATCTTGGACAAGGTACAACATTATTTAGGTGATGTTGACCATGATACATTAAGAGGAGCTGTAGATGAAATATTAACAATAATGCATGATGAAAATCAATCTGATCACCAAAAGCAAGAGGAAGTTTCACAAATATTATCATCAATACCAAGTGATGAGTTTGCAAAACTTTATCAATTATGCAAGCGTACCACTGATTTCGTAGTTAGTGATGTTGTAGGAGATAATTATCAAGGAATTGATGAAGGAATAGCTTTAGTTTCATCTGATGAAGAAGAGGATGATGAAACAGAGGGATTGAACAATCAAACTGTTGGATATGTTGTTTCGTCTGACTCTGAGTCTGATATTTCTGACTCTGAACAACCTACAATAGTGGAATCTTCAAAAATGGAAGATGAAGAAGAAGAAGATTTGGATATTACCACTATTGATTCTCTTTGGCTCCAAAAAGAGTTATCTAAGTATTATTCTGATTCTATTGAATGCAAAAAATTATCTAATGGGATTTTAGATATATTATCAAGCTCTGAAGATGAGCACGACATTGAAAATCAATTGGTTCAGATTTTAGACTATGATAAAATTGATATGGTACAAAAATTGATGAGAAATAGATTAAAAATTATTTATTGCACAAGATTACACCAAGCAGCAACGAAAGAAGAAAAGGAAAAGATTGAACAAGAAATGATGACTAATGATAGTTTGGTAAAAATTTTAGAAAAGTTGAAAGGTACCAAAATTTCATCAGGAAATACTGGTACTTCTAGGGTAGAGAGAGAAAATTATCAATGGAAGGGAGAGAGAGTTATAAATTTGGAAAATTTAACTTTTGAAGAGGGTAGTCATTTAATGAGTAATAGAGATTTTACTTTACCAAGTACTGCTTCTACAGCCCAATTCAAAGGTTATGAACAAATTACCATTCCATACTCTTCTCAAGATAAACCGCGAGTAGATAATTTAATTGAAATCAAGTCATTACCAGAATGGTCTCACAAAGCATTCCCAAATATGGTTAAGCTCAATGCTGTACAGAGCATTATTTTCAAATCGGCATTTTATTCCCCTGAAAATTTGTTAATTTGTGCTCCAACTGGTGCTGGTAAGACTAATGTTGCTGTTTTGACAATGCTTCATGAAATTGGCTTACATATGGATGAAAGTTTTGACAACTTGATAGATTTGGATTTCAAGATGATATATATTGCTCCTATGAAAGCCTTAGTACAAGAAGTGGTCGGTAACTTAAGCGAGAGATTAAAACCATATAATATTGTTGTACAGGAATTAACAGGTGACAGAAATATGACAAAACAGCAAATTGATGAGACTCAAATTATAGTCACAACGCCAGAAAAATGGGATATTGTTACTAGAAAATCTGGAGACAGGACATATGTTGAAAAAGTCAAGTTAATTATTATTGATGAAATTCATCTTCTTCATGATGAAAGAGGTCCTGTACTAGAGTCTATTGTTGCTCGTACAATTAGACAACAAGAATCAACAAGACAAAACATTAGACTAGTAGGATTGAGTGCTACCCTTCCTAATTATAAGGATGTGGCAACATTTTTACGTGTGAAACCAGATAATTTATTTTATTTTGATAGTAGTTTTAGACCATGTCCTTTGGATCAATATTATATTGGTGTAAATGAAAAGAAGCCATTTAAAAGACACAAGTTAATGAACGAGATTGTGTATAATAAGGTTGTTGAAATAGCAGGGAAACACCAAATTATTGTGTTTGTACATTCCAGAAAGGATACATACAAAACAGCAAAGGCATTGCGTGATATGGCAATAGAAAATGATACAATTGGTAAATTTGTGAAACAAGGTTCAGCTACTTCAGAAATACTTAAAGAGGCATCTCAGAAAGATGCTAATGGAGCAGAGTTAAAGGAATTGCTTTCTTTTGGGGTTGGCATCCATCACGCAGGTATGACAAGAAATGATCGTACTCTTGTTGAAGATTTATTTGATGATGAACGTTTACAAGTTCTGGTCAGTACGGCCACTTTAGCTTGGGGTGTTAATCTTCCAGCCAGACGAGTTATTATTAAAGGAACTCAAGTATACAGTCCTGAAAAAGGTGATTGGACAGAACTGAGTGCTCTGGATGTCATGCAAATGATAGGTCGTGCGGGAAGATTTCCAAGAGATAGTAGGGGTGAAGGTTTAATTGTAACAACCCAATCTCATTTACAGTATTATCTTGCTTTGCTTAATCAACAATTACCTATTGAAAGTCAGTTTATCAAATCGCTACCAGATAATCTTAACGCTGAGGTTGTTCTTGGAACAGTTCAAAACATTGATGAGGCTATCAACTGGCTTGGTTATACCTATCTTTATGTTAGAATGTTGAGAAATCCGCTTCTTTATGGTATTACTAAAGAAGATGTGGAACATGATAAGAATCTCTATCATTGGAGAAGAGATTTAGTATATTCTGCTGCATTAATTTTAGAAAAGAACGGACTTATCAAGTTCGATAAAAGATCAGGAGATTTCCAACCAACAGATTTGGGAAGAGTTGCAAGTCATTACTATGTTACTCACAAGTCAATTGCAACTTTTAATAATAATTTGAAACCAAACTTAAGCGATATTGAATTATTCAGACTATTTTCCCTTTCTGATGAATTTTCTCAAATGACAGTCCGTCAAGAAGAAAAATTAGAATTATCAAAACTTATTCACAGTGTACCTATTCCTATTAAGGAATCTGCTGATGATCCATCCGCAAAGGTGAATGTGTTACTACAAGCCTACATTTCTAGGTTACGTTTGAATGGGTTTGCATTAATTGCTGATATGACCTATATTACTCAGAGTGCTGCTCGTATTGCTAGAGCTTTATTTGAAATTATTATGCATAGAGGATGGGCTCAATTGGCATCAAAGGTTCTTAATCTAGCTAAAATGATAGAACACAAGATGTGGTACACACAAACACCACTTAGACAATTCCCAAAGATTGAACAAACCATTCTTAAACAACTAGAGGGAAAGAACACTCTTTGGGAACGTCTTTATGACTATACTCCTGCAGAACTTGGCAGACTAGTTCACCATAATCAACGTGGAAAAGATTTATACAAGTATATCCATCAATTCCCTCGTCTTGATCTTACAGCAAGTGTCCAACCAATTACTCCAAGTACTTTAAGAATAGAGTTGACCATTTCTCCTGATTTCCAATATAACAAGAGTATTCATGGTGCAGCACAAACTTTTTGGATATTTGTAGAGGATGTAGATGGAGAAGTCATTTTACACCATGAATCATTTGTTTTAAAGCAAAAATATGCTGAAGAGAATCATTTTGTCAGTTTCACCGTTCCAATTTATGAACCGCTTCCTCCTCACTATTTTATCAAAGTAATTTCAGATAGATGGCTGCACTCTGAGCAAACACTTCCAATATCTTTTAGACATTTAATCTTACCACAAAAAGCTCCTCAAACAACAGAGTTATTAGATTTACCTCCTCTTGAAATATCTGCTCTCAAGAATGGTAAATATGAACAACTTTTATCAAATATGGGAGTATACAAATTTAATCCTATTCAAACACAAGTTTTTAGATCGGTTTATCACAGCGAGGATAGTGTTTTAATTGCTGCACCTGGTGGAAGCGGAAAGTCCTTGTGTGGAGTTCTTGCAATAATGAAAATGTTTAATGACCATGAAAATTCAAAGTGTGTGTACATTGCTGCTATCCCATCTGTTGCCAATAAGAGAGAAAAGAAATGGATTTCTCTTTTTGAACAAATTGGCAAAAGAGTTGTAAATTTAACAGGAAATTTAGCCAAAGATATGATTTTATTCGAGCAAGGTGATATTATTATTTCCACTCCCGAACAATTTGATATGTTTTCAAGAAAGTGGAAGGCAAGAAAATCCTTATCCAATGTAAAATTGGTTGTGGCTGATGAGCTTCATATGATTGGTGGAGAAGTTGGTCCTATTATTGAAGTTGTTATTTCTAGGATTAGGTATATGTCTTCTCAATTAGAAACCAATATTAGAATTGTAGGACTAAGTGCTTCAATTTTAAATGCAAAGGATGTTGCAGACTGGATTGGTACCAAGAAGGAATGTTGCTTTAATTTCCATCCAAGATATAGATCCATACCATTGGAAATCAATATTCAAGGATTTACTCAAAGCTCTTACAATGCCAGACAGGTAGCTATGAGTAAACCTGCGTATAAGGTAATTAAGCAAAAATCAGGAGGAGAACAAACAATTATATTTACATCTTCTCCAAAACAGGCATCTTTTATCTCATCTGATCTAATTGATCACTTGAGTAATGACATTAATTCCAAAATATTTGTTGGTGATAGTTCAGCAATTAATCATGCTATTGGTTCAGTTGACAGCTCTGCATTGAAAGAAGTACTAACGTTTGGTATTGCTTTCTATCATGAAACTTTAACCAAAAATGACAAGCAAATTGTTGAGGAATTGTATTCTACAGGTGTTATCAAGGTGTTGGTAGTAACACATCAAATGTGTTGGGGAATGGAGCAAAAATCAAAACTTGTAATCATTATGGGAACCGAATACTATAATGGCAAAGAACATAGATATACCGATTACTCTATTATAGATATGGTACAAATGATGAGTAGGTCTGGTAGAATTGCAGTTGATAAGGACTCGACTTGTTACATTTTCTGTGCAGCCTCAAGAAAAGACTATCTGTTAAAATTCCTATATGAACCATTCCCAGTAGAATCCCATTTGGATCACTTCCTCTATGATCCTCTAAATGCTGAAATTTCTTCTAAAATTATTGAAAATAAGCAAGGTGCTGTTGACTATTTGACTTGGACCTTTCTCTATAGAAGAATTCGTAAAAATCCTAATTATTACAATTTAAGTGGAACAACCAAGATACATTTATCAGACTATTTGTCCGAGTTGGTGGAATCTTCATTGGAAGAGTTGCAAAAATGTAACTGTATACTTGTTGAAGATGATGAGATAACAGCTATGAACTTGGGTACAATTGCTGCTCACTATTACGTAAAACATTCCACAATAGAAATTTACAGCACCACAATCAATAGTAAGACCAAGTTGAGAGGTTTATTAGAAGTTCTGGGTTATTCCACTGAATTTGAGCAATTACCAATTAGACAAAAGGAGAATCACATACTCAGAAAGCTTTTCACACACGCTCCGCTAAAGGTTGAAAAGCCAAACTATACCCAAGTGTCTACAAAGGTAAATTTGATACTTCAATCCCATTTTTCAAGAACAAGGCTCACACCAGCTATGGAAATGGATAAGAAACAAATTCTTCTTCAGTCTGTAAAACTTTTAAGAGCTATGGTTGACGTTATCGGTAATGAAGGTTTTTTAACACCAGCCCTTGCAGCCATGGAAATGTCTCAAATGATCACACAAGCATTATGGGATAAGGATCCATTTTTAATGCAATTACCTCATTTTACTAAAGAAATTTGTTCTAGATGTGAACAAGGTGGAATAATTACTATTTTTGACTTGATTAACATGGAAGATGATGAAAGAAATCAATTACTTGGATTTGGTGAACAGCAAATGATAGATGTCGCTAAAGCACTCAATAGGTATCCGAATATTGAGCTTGCTCATGAAATTGTTACAGCAAATGAGGACATTACAACTAACTCTACAATTACCTTGGCTATTAGATTTGATGCTGATGATGTTGGAGATGAGCCAATTTATGCACCATATTTCCCAGAAGATAAGCTTGAAGAATGGTGGATTGTTATTGGTGATCATTTTAACAATGAAATCAAGTCGATCAAGCGATTGCCAATTAAACAATCGAGTGAGACTATGGTTAAATTTTTAGCACCATCTAAACCTGGAAAATATGAATTCAAACTTTATTTCATGTGTGATTCGTATACTGGTTGTGATCAGGAATACCCAATTTCATTTACTGTCTTGGAAGGTGAGGATGATGATGAAATGGCAGATGAAAATTAATTAAAGGATCATTTAAATTCATCGATTGATGTTTATTTACATGTCGGGCGATTGTGCTGTTGAGGAAGAAGGTGACGAGGCTTGTTTGGAGATTGTAGTGGCAGTATTGTCGATTTGTTGGAGAGAAGTAAACTGGGAGTTTAAACTGGAACTTTGATGAAGATAAGGCATTGGAGGAGAATTAGAAGTAATATAAGTAGGATTAAGGTCAGCAGTGTTTTCATGGTTATCCATTCTTGTACTTTGCTCACCAGAAAACACTCGTTTTTGGAGAGTTATATGATCAAGAAACTTTTGCTGCTCTTTTAGTTTCCAATCAGACCTGAGAGAGTCAGTTGGATCCCACAATGAGGACACCCAACCTACTGAATATGGATTTGTAGTTGAAGGTCTATTTTCTTCTTCTCTTGTTTTTTCTGCCTTTGGCGTGTAGAACCTTTGTTCTGTGGTTGAGCTAGGAACGCTCTTCGTGTCTATGTCATCATAGATTGAGAAATCTTCTTGCATTTCAATATTCTCTTTTCTCAGGTTTGTTCTTGAGGTTGACCTTCTTGGGGGTGTTATTTGATCAACATCTTGCTCTTTCTCTCCGACTGAGGTCAAATCCATAAACTTTAATTGTTCATTAAGAGTCATCTCTGCTTTTCTTATTCGTTCTGAAATAGCAGATATCTCTGCCTTCTCTGATCCTATTTGTTTTCTTGATTTTGTTATTTCTAATCGTTCCAATTCTAACATCTTCCTTTGATCTTGAAGTTGTTTTTCAAGAGATTTAAGATTCTTTTTTTCTGCAAGATAATTTCTATTGAGGGCTTCTGCTTCATCTCTCATTTTCTCTGTTTCTGCTTTTTCTTTCATCACTTCTTGGTACTTGAGAGTGACTTGCTCACTATCGGATTGTACTTGGATCAACCTTTGGGCTAAATGTTCATGCTGTTGATAGAAGGTTTCTTTTTCCTTAATAAGCACAGATTTCAATTCTTCAACATCTCTCCTTTCTCTATCAATGAGATCTCTCATTTCTTTAATAAGTCTTCTTTCTTCCTCCAAGCTCTTCTTTTCAGAATTCACTTGGGATTCTCTTTCGAATAGTTCTTTCATTCTTGATGTGTGTTCAATTCTGGCAGATTCACGTTCGGCTAATGCTTCTTTTTGTAGTCTTGACAACTTTGAACGTTCTTCTTGAGTATCCACAATAAACTGTTGCCTCTCTACAATGAATCTAGCTTTATCTTCATCTAGTCTTTCTCTCATTTCATAAATTTCTCGCATCTTGGTTTCAAATTCTTTTTCATAGTTTTTCTTTTTTTCTTCTAACTCTCGTTCCTTCTTTAGGGTTTGTAGTCTTTCATCTTCATAGTTCTTTTGAATCGATTTCATATTCGTTTCCATCTCTACGTATAGAACTTGAATTCTAGATCTCTCGGTGGCCAATTCTTCCTTTTGTTTTTGATGGGATTTTTCAGTCTCGGAAATAAGTCTCTCTCTAACTACAAGGTGATCTTCTTTTTGTTTGAAGACTTTCATTTGATCCTCGTAGAGTCTATGGTGAAGAGTTTCTACTGAGTGAGCATTCACTTCTATTTTCTTAATGAGATCATTTAAAGATGATTCTACTTGAATGTTTTTCATCTTTTTATCGTATTCCTCCTTCAATATTCTTTTATGCTCCTCAACTTCCTCTTTTTGTCTTTGCTGGATGGCCATCTTTTCCATTTCATGAAGTTTATGAATCTGATCAATTTCCATTTGATTTCTTCTTTTCAAGTTTTCCATCTCGGTGGATATTGTTAAATCAGCTCTCTCTTTTTCTCTGAGTAATCTGGATGTAAATCCCTCTGAATCCTCTTGGATTTTCAGTTCTTTTTGTCTTACTTCTTCTTTTAACTGTTCAATTTTGAGATGAGATTTCTGAATTGTTGTTTCAAACTCTATTCTAACATTATTAACTGTTGCCTGTTTCTCTTGCTCGAAATTTAACTTCATCCTATGTATCATTTCTTCATGCTCTTGTTTTAATTCATTGACAATATTTTTTTCTTTCAACTCGTATTCAAGTTGTTTTTTTGCATGTTCTTTGAGTTGAATTTCTTGTTGTTGGATGGTTTTTTGAAGGTCATCTATTTGGGAAATCAACTTTGACCGTTCTTCTAGGAACTCTTGTTTTAATTCCATTTTTAGTAATCCAGAAATGTTTTCCAAATCTTCTTTTACCAAGCTCCGTTGTACAACATGTGGTGGATTGTCTATCCTTTTTGGAGAAGGAATTGGAAGTGATTTTTGGCGTGGAGAGGATGAAAGATCAGATAGTTTGATTGGTGATGAAGTCTTGTTGGAGGATGTATTTGAAGGTTGTTGTTGAATCTTGGTACTTTGTCTACTTTTAGGCACTTCCTCAGGATCAAGATAACTCAGCGATTTTCTCCCATGTTCCTCCATTGGATCTGCAAAGTCAAAATCATCATCAAAAACTTCTTCCTCCTCAACAGTTTCTTCCATATGACCATCCTCAAAGTCAGTAAAGTTCTCTAGGTCTGTATCTTCAGCCCTAGGTTGCTCAATAGATCCTCTAAACGAATCATCAAAATCACTTTCAATAAAGTCCTCATCTTCTATTATTTCCTCTTCAAAATCATTATTTTGTTTCTTTTGTCTGTTGTCACGTTCTCTTTTTTCTTTTTCTTCTCTTTCTCTCCTTTCCCTTATTTCTCTTTCTTTTCTCTCTTTTTCTTCACGTTCTCGTCTCTCTTTTTCGAGTCTTTCCTTTTCTTCTCGTTGCTTTTTTTCTTTAACTTCATTTTCTTCTCGTTGCTTTCTCTCCCTCTCTTCCCTTTCAATTTTTTCTTTTCTATCTCTTTCAATTTTTTCTTTTTCCTTCCTCTCTCTTTCCTTTTGCTCAAATTCTTCCCTTTCTCGTCTCTCCTGTTCCCTTTGTTTCCTTTCTCTTTCTTCTCTTTCCATTTTTTCTTTTCTATCTTGTTCTAATCTTTCTCTTTCTTGACGTTCCCTATCTTCTCTATCTCTCCTCTCCTGATCTTCCCTCTGTTTTCTCTCTCTTTCTTCTCTTTCAATCTTTTCTTGCTCCCTTTCTTTTCTTTCCTTTTCCTCTTTTTCTTTGATTTTCAAAATCTCTTTTTCTTGTTCTTCCATTAACTGATCATCATCAAAGTCGAAATCGTCCTCAATAGAAGATGGAGATTTTGATTTCTTTTTAGTTTTTTTCTCATTCTTAAAATCAGGAACAGTAAATCCAGAGGGCCTTTTGCTTGAGTTGGGTCGTTTTGATCTTGCAAAATCAAATGAGTAAGCATCTTGTTTATCATTTTTTGGTGAAGGGGCTTTCTTCTTGTCCTTCTTTTTTGTTTCTTTTTTGGTTACCGGGTTGAAATCATCCAGGCCAAGCATTTCTCCAACTTCGTCATCATCAATATCTGAAAACTATCAAAATTATGATTAATACTCTTACAACAAAAAATAACATACACCAGATGTAGAAACATTCTCATCAGTATTTTCTGTATTGGTATTGGAATTTTTCTTTCCAAATAGATCCACATTAATCTTTGTTAATGATCCAGATGAGCTGGATGATGCATTACTTTTGGAAGATTTGTTTGAATTTTTCCTAGAAACTTGATCTGAACTATTTTTCTTTCCTAATAAACCTCCAACAGATGTTAGATCATTTGTACTTTCCGATTCATCTTCACTGGCTGAGTCCCTTGTTGCTGAAAAGACTTCTCCAAAATCATTACTTCCAAGTATCATGTTAGATTTTCTTGTGTTGGTTGTATTTTTCTTGAATTTTGATCCAAGATTAAAACCAAAATTAAAGTCATTGCTATCGTTAGACCCAGAGGAACTAATGGATGAACGTGATGATTTTCCTCTTGGCAGAGATGTCAATCCACTCATTTTTTTATTGTTTTGGCGGGAAAAGTTGTACAAAATTTGGCGCTAAACCAATATTGTTAATCATGTTAATGATTGATTTGTTCTGATCTGAATTATTGACAGAAATAAGGGCCATAATTAATAACATATTCAAACTTAATTAAGGGTGACAATTCCAATTCATTTAGACTCCTTTTCCAACGGCCTTATTCTTACAACCTCACTACCGCCAAAAAAAATGAACAACAGGTTAAAGGATTTGAAGGTGTGTTTTAAAATATTAGGATTCATTAAATGGGAAATGTAAATTACATTAAATTTTCACTTTTTAATACAGAAAAAAGCTCAAGGAAGAGCCGATGATCTTGATGAAATTGCCTTACAGGATAAATACGAACACGGAGACTTGGAAAGAGCTGAAGGTGGTTACTCCAACGGAAGGTTGATTCCAAAGGAATCAGAATTTGTTTCTGAATTTTTCAGTCAAGTCAGTGAGATTAAAACTAGAATTAATAAGATTGATGAAAATGCAACCTTAATGGAAAAACAATATAACAGCATCATAGCAGAAGTAAAGAAAGAAGCAAACACAAAAGCTTTTAAACAAAAAGTCACAGCCCTATCCGATGATATTGATGACGACATGAGATTTGTGAAGAGGAGTCTTGAAGAAATGGCTCAAACCAACAGAATTTTAGAAGAACATTCCGCAGAGAGGAGAATGAGAGAAAATCAACATGCATCACTCACACAGCTTTTCTTCACTGTTATGCAACGATTTAACGGAATTCAAGCAGCTTGTAAACAAAGATACAGAGATGATTTAATGCGAAATCTCAGAAATATTTATAGTGAAGATGAAAAGTCAGATGAAGAACTCAATGAAATGATAGAATCCGGTCAAATTCAAGAGGGAAATTTATATGGAAAGTTTTTGTTAAAAAACTCAACACAAAACACTATCAAATCTACTTACAGTGAGATCAAGGAAACCCATGAAGATTTGAAACGACTGGAATTATCCATGAGCGAACTTCAAGATATGTTCAGAGATTTGCACTCTCTTTTAATGATGCAACAAGATTTGATCGATAACATAGAAGACAATGTATTAAGAAGTGTTGACTATACTGAAAAGGGTGTTAACAATATCAAGACTGCAAAGAAAGTGGCTGACAAGACCAGACATGCCAAGTGCTGTTTGTTTGTCATTGTAATTGTTGTCGCAATTGTTGTTATTTTGATTGTGGCTGGTGTTATTGGTATTTCTGTTCCTCTTTCTATATTGAAGTAGAACTTTTACTTGTAAATAAATGTAAAGAATAAATTCATTCATTTCAAATTTTTTATGACAATCAGTATGATTGTTACTGGAAATTATCTGATTTACTGCACAAATTGAGATAGAAATATGGAGCAAATGCCAACCATGCTCGGGGATAAAGATTTAGATGACCTTGATGTACACAGTTTTATCATATCGCCACTTCTGGTTCGCATTCTTCTTCAATCACTTTCGCTACCCAACAACAAAATTGATTGAACAAATCTGTTGTGTTTTATTGAAGAAAAAATGCGTAGATACATCACCAGTAATACCACACAAGTATTTACCAACTCTCTCCTCTCAAAAACGTGCGCTCAAAGACACTATTCCCAATCATCGAATTCGGAGAAGGCACCACTACCACCTAATTTTGAGTCAGCAATCATTAATGACAATACTAAAGTCAATATTGAATCTCAGATAAATTCCGAAATATTAACTGAGAGGAAGTATCATGTTATTCCATCCATCTTTGAACAATATGGAACACCTCGTCCTCCAACTTTTTCACTCATTCATCAATATAACTCGGATTCTAAACATTTGGACTTTTCTACAACATCAGAAGTAACAGCAAGTTTGCCAAACATTGAAAAAACCTACCCGGATTCTCATCTCATAGAATATTACTCGAAACATAATGCACAACTGAAATCTGTTCAATTGAAAGATAATGTTGTTGACAGTCAACCATATTACAGATTATCTGCATTTAATTATGGATCTGTAAGATACAGTTTATTAAGATCAGGATTTAAACGTGTTGGAAAGGATGTTCCAGTTGTTGAAAGAGGATATTTAAAACTTTCAGAACAAGATCAAGAAAAGAGATTTGAAAGTTTTGTTAACGAACCATTTTCAATTTACTGGGGTAGACACTTACCAGCTCATTTCTATCAGCATTTAAATCATTTCCAAAGAGTGAACCACTTTCCTGGATCAACTAATTTGGGTAGAAAGGATCTATTGTTTATCAATTTATTCAGACAAAAACAATTGTCAGGTGATTCAGAATATGGTTTCTTTCCTGACAGCTTTTTACTTCCTTATGATTATAAGGTTTTTCAACAAAGATGTAAAGAGCAGGATTTATTTATCCTTAAACCTTTTGCAAGCAGTTGTGGTCGTGGTATAAGTGTGTATAATACCAAGAAACATGCACCACTCCCAGAAGATAAACGTATACTCGTACAGGAATACATCGCTAACCCTCTACTGATAGCAGGAAAGAAATTTGATATGAGATTATATGTTTTAGTTTCATCATATGATCCGCTTCGTGTATATCTTCATTGTGATGGTTTGGCACGTTTTGCCACTGAGGAATATGACATGTCAAGACTAGATTCTGTTTTTTCCCATCTCACTAACTATTCCATCAATAAGAAATCAGATAATTTCGTAAGAAATGATGAAGAATGTGAGGATGAGGAAGATGGTTGGAATGAACATGCTCACAAGTGGAGTATTCCATCTTTAAAAACCTATTTGGCTCGTAATGGATATCCAGTTGATAAAATTTGGGGTGATATTGAAGGTCTCATTGTAAAGACATTAATTTCTGTTGAGAATAGAATTCGTGGCACATGTGAAAAGGTTCAAATGCCATCAAAGAACAATTGTTTCGAGATTTATGGATTTGATGTTATGTTAGATGGAGATCTTAAACCATGGCTTATTGAAGTTAACATTATGCCATCACTTGCTGTTTCTTCAGTATTGGATAAGAGAGTCAAAGTAGATGTTTTAAGCGAGTCGTTCCATATTTTAGGAATGATTCCTCATTCTCGAGCCAATTATGAGCAAGAAAAGAAGACTAAACTGAACTATTACGGAGAGTCTGTAAGTGCCAAAGAAAAGTACATTCTTCATGATAGCGAAGATGAACTGTCCAGATTGCACAACTTTAAGAGAATCTATCCGCCTGTTGATGGTAACCCAGCCAGATATGAACATTTATTCCAAGAACATGTCGAATCTAACAAGGTACTCATAGATTTTGAAAAGGAAAAAAGAACAACAACAAATATTGAATCCCTTCACAAACTGATTGCATAAATGAATTTTTATTTGTTTAATTATTCTTCTTGTATTTTGGCGCCAAAACTTGTACAATTTATTTAGCCTTCTTCCGCCAATTTTTGCAACAACAGAAAAAAAACATCATGATCTCTAATGAGGACACCATTCCCAAAACACCCACCTCGTCTTCGGAGGACACACCAAGGAAAGAGGTTAAAGAAGCAAATAGTTTAATAGATCCTTCATCACAAAAAAAGGAAGAAGAGGAATATACTGTAGAGGACGATAATTTTGAAGGAAGTAGATTAAAATTTTAGTAAGTTTTAGTTAAATTGATAAAGATAACAACAATACTAGTCACACACTAGGTTTAAGGAGCATACCACAACCTATTCAACATTTGGAAAATGAGGAAGAAATGGTTTACCTAGTTGGAAAACATGTTTCCATCTATAATTACGAAAAAAGAACTCATTCTTTCATTTTAAAAAGTAACAACATTCTGGAAATACATTGCTTTGCTATTTCCCCAAATAGAGCTCTTATAGCATTGAGTGAATCATTTATCGATCAGAAAAAGAAACTTAGCAACACCCCAAACACAAAAGACGCAGTAGAACATCAAATTTCTGTTTATAATTTCAAGAATGCAAAAAGAGCAAGAGTACTTAGTGTTGTAGGACCATCTGGTAAATCGACTCCAGTTATTTCAATGGCTTTTTCAGGAGATGCTCAGTATTTGGCAGCAGTAACAGATGAACCTGAACAAGCAATTTATTTATGGCATCTAGCAAAAGCAAATGTAAGTCTAAATTGAATGATTGTGACAATGAACTTGAATTCAGAGAATATCATGTAAAAAAATACCATTCAAAGTAACTCAAATCTCTATTAATCCTTATTCCCCTTGGCAACTTGCTACTTCTGGGCCAGATGATATGAAAATTTGGAGATACACAGAAGGAGAGTTGAAACATATTGACCCAATAGGGAGTGACAAGTATACTTACAAATGTCATTCTTGGTATGATGACGAAAAGTTGCTTGTAGGAACTGAGGAAGGTCAGGTACTTGTTATCGAAGGGAAAAATGTCGTAAAAGTGATTTCCAATGTTCACCCTAATGCATCAGGTATCCTTTGTATTGAGGCAATAGATAGAGGTTTTGTTTGTGCTGGTGAAAATGGTTATTTCTCTGTTTTTGAAAGGACGTACGATTCAGAACATTTTAATCATTACAAAAAATTTAGAACTATTGAAAAAAGGAAAATTGTTGCATTGTGTGTTTCCAGAAAGGAGAATAATGTAATTTGTAGTTATGATGACAACAAACTTGCCTTCTTTTCTTTAGCGAATGTAGATATTCTCAAAGAAAATGATAACAACTTTACACTCCTGCCTGTGGGATTCCATGGCCAACTAGTTCTAGGAATGTCAAATTGTATTCAAAAACCGTTACTTGTTACTTGTGGATCTGATAGGACATTACGGTTATGGAATTATGTAAAAAGACAAATCGAGCTGGAAAAAACATTTGATGAGGATGTTTATTGTGTAACTTTGGATCCAACTGGAACAAGAATATTACTAGGATTTAGGTACAAGTTGAGTTGTTATGCAATATTATCAAATGATTTATATTTATTACATGATTGGCATATTAAGGGATGTAAGCTAGCCAACTATTCGAATGGAGGACATTATTTTGCATGTGTATCGGCAACATCAATATTGGTTATATCCTCTCTAACATTTCAAGTTGTAAATACATTGAGAGGGCATAGTGGAATCATTAAATCAGTGGTTTGGGGTAAAAATGATACTCAACTTGCATCAGCAAGTTTTGATGGAACTATCTGTGAGTGGGATATTGTATCTGACAAACTAAGAATACATGAAAATGTTGTTAAAACTTGTGCATTCAGATGCGTTGCCTATGATCACAAAAATCACATGTGCTCTGGAGTTGGAAGTGATGGTAATTTGTGGACGTTTGGAGGTGGAACACTATTCAGTCAAATTCCAACAAAGGAAGATCTAACCTGCCTTGTTTATTGTTCCCAGGCTGAACTAGGGATTGTTGGTACAGCAAGTGGAAAACTTCTCTTGTATGCTTGGCCTCCAGATGACCATGCGTTTGTAGAGTATGAGGTTCACAATGGTGCAATTTCATCTATAATATTAAGTCAGGATGAAAAGTTTCTGTTCACTTTAGGAGCAGATGACACTCTTTTCATGCTAGAAATTGAGACAAGAAAAGAAGGAAAAACTCTTCAATTGAAATCTGTAGATTTTGATAAGTTTTATGATCTCTATTACACACTGAGAGGAATAGAAGAAGAAACAGAACAGCAAATAATGGAACTTTCAGATAAAGCAAAACTAGCAAGTGATGAAAATGAACGAAAATACCAACACATTGTGGATAGATATGACCAAGAACTTGAGTCTCAAAAAATGAAATTTACAAACGATATTAAGGAATTAAAACGAAGGAATGAACTACTAAAATCTCAGTTAACAGATCAAGAAGCTAATTCCAAAGAAAACGTTAACAGAATTGAGTATTCACATCAGGAAGAAATAGACCATGAGCGAACCATCTCTGAAAACCTCTTGAAAGAAACAAAAGAAAAATATGATAGGGAAATAGAAAGTTTGAAGGAGAAACTAGCATACTTTGTTGATTTGGTGAAGGTTATGACCGAGAAACACGAAGAAGAAATTGAGAAATTGAAGCAAGAGTATGAGGAAGAAAAACTTCAGCTGGTTGAAACCTATGATAACCTTAGCCAAGACTTTAAACAATTATCAAGTGTTTATCAGGCGACAGTACAACAATCAGAGGAAGATTTTGACACTCAACTTAAAAGAGTTAAGACATCCTTGATTCATACAATCGAAAAACACAAACAATCCGTTATTGAAGCCAAAGGAGAGGCTGTTAAAAAAGGAACCAAAGTTGAAGAGCTGAAGAAGGAAATAACCTTGCTCAAGTCAAAAGTTTCAAAGCAAGAAGAAA